TTCTTTTGTCTTTTTAATGTATCATACATTCAAACGCCTAACCAGAAAGTGATTAAATAAAAACTTTAACTTGAATTCCGATTTAAAAAGGATCTGTTAATTCAAAAGTTATTAGTTCAGACGGTGTGAATAATATTGTTAAAAGAATTGAGTCTTTGCCACAATTTCTGATTTTCTAATCACAATATCTTTGCAACCCAATGTTGACGATTATAGGTGTTTTAAGTTGGATCAAATAATCTAAGTTTGAAAATCAAAGGTTTACACCTTCAGGTCGAAAATTACAAAATTTCAGTTTGTGACAAAGTCTCCATTCCTTTTTTTCAACAAAAACAGTTGATTTTTGATAATTTATTTCACCCTTCTTACATGTTATACAATAAGAACTTACTTTAGTTCTTATCATATTTTCTTTTTTATTGTAAAAGATATAAATAATATTTGTTAGATCTACTTCTAATACTATGCTAACAGATGAACACCGTTGAAATTAAAACCACAAATAAACATAAATTAGAGTTTCAAACCATGAGCTGCATCACGAGGGAAAAATGTATTTTCAAACCATGAGCTGCATCACGACGGGGAAAATTTATTTTCAAACCATGAGCTGCATCACGAGGGGAAAATGTATTTTCAAACCATGAGCTGCATCACTCTGGGAAAATGTATTTTCAAACCATGAGCTGCATCCGGAGGGGAAATGTATTTTCAAACCATGAGCTGCATCACGAGGGGAAAATATATTTTCAAACCATGAGCTGCATCACGAGGGGAACATGTATTTTCAAACCATGAGCTGCATCACGAGGGGAAATGTATTTTCAAACAATGAGCTGCATCACGAGGGAAAATTATAGTTTCAAACCATGAGCTGCATCACGAGGGGAATTTTCAAACCATGAGCTGCATCATGAGGGGAAAATGTATTTTCAGACCATCAGTGGCATCACGAGGGAAAAATGTATTTTCAAACCATAAGCTGCATCACGAGAGAAAAATGTATTTTCAAACCATGAGCTGCATCACGAGGGAAAAATTTATTTTCAAACCATCAGCTGCATCACGAGAGAAAAATGTATTTTCAAACCATGAGCTGCATCACGAGGGGAAAATGTATTTTCAAACCATGAGCAGCATCATGAGGGGAAAATGTATTTTCAAACCATGAGCTGCATCACGAGGGAAAATGTATTTTCAAACCATGAGCTGCATCATGAGGGAAAATGTATTTTCAAACTATGAGCTGCATCATGAGGGGAAATGTATTTTCAAACCATGAGCTGCATCATGAGGGGAAAATGTATTTTCAAACCATGAGCTGCATCACGAGGGAAAATGTATTTTCAAACCATGAGCTGCATCACGAGGGAAAATGTATTTTCAAACCATGAGCTGCATCACGAGAGAAAATGTATTTTCAAACCATGAGCTGCATCACGAGGGGAAAATGTATTTTCAAACCATGAGCTGCATCACGAGGGGAAATTATAGTTTCAAACCATGAGCTGCATCACGAGGGGAAAAAGTATTTTCAAACCATGAGCTGCATCACGAGGGGATATTATAGTTTCAAACCATCAGCTACCCTCAGGTGCACACTGAACCACCCCGGCAATCTTTATTTTACTTCAACATTAATTCTAGTAATTCAAAATAATATGCATATAATAATAATGCATAGTAATAAGATTAAATGAGCTTTGTTTTAGAGATAAAAAATATACAAGATAAAGACCAATTTTTTAAAGATTGCACGTCAATGTCAAATAACATAAATAACATCAATAAACATAAATAACTGCAATTAACACGAATAACATCAATTATCATGAATAAAATCAATTAACATGAATAAAATCAATTAACATAAATAACATCAATAAACATAAATAACATCAATCAACATGAATAAAATCAATTAACATGAATAAAATCAATTAATATTAATAAAATCAATTAACATAAATAAAATCAATTAACATAAATAAAATCAATTAACATAAATAACATCAATAAACATAAATAACATCAATTAACATGAATACAATTAATTAACATGGTTAAAATCAATTAACATAAATAAAATCAATTAATATAAATAAAATCAATTAACATAAAAAACATCAATAAACATAAATAACATCAATTAACATGAATAAAATCAATTAACATAAATAAAATAAAATCAACATAAATAAAATCAATTAACATAAATAAAACCAATTAGCATAATTAAAAAAATTCTCTATTTTTTATCTGAAATTGAATAAAAAAAGTTCTGGCAATTTATCATGATAATATAATCTGAGCTGGGAATTTTGGATTAGACGGAATTTAACTTATTCACAAACGTAGAAACCCTTCTTAAGCCGGGAATTAAGATTTATCTCCTGTAACAATGGTTGAAGCGTTGAGGAGTATCTAATATTTATTCTTTGGTTATTCACTTCAGTTTCATTAGAAGTAAATATTTCCATTTACTGCTTAACGCCGATTTAAGGATTCATCTCTAATTGGATAATGATATAGTTAGAAAGATAGATGTTACCGCCATACTATTTCTATTGGTTCAGAATAGACACCAAACACATAACTGAACCCTGATTGGATCAGACGCTAATGGAATCGACATACAAGTGTGTATTTGTACACTAAAAATATATAATAGTTCAGAAATAGCAAATGACTACACATATAATTCTAAATATTAAATATACGAATTTACATTATACCATAAACGCTCAGTTGATTCAGTGGTTCCTGTGATTTAACTATAATCAGATGAATTAAGAGTAACCTGGAAGAGGGCTAATCTGAATGTTTCTAAACGAAAACTGGAATGTTTACATACAGTATAAATAGTACATATAATGTTGGTGCAACTTTTACATATAAATAATGCCATCCATCATAATCTCCTACAAAACTAAATATTCACAAAACAAGTTTCCATCCATCTATTTATTTATTTATCTGTCCATCCATCTATTTATCTATTTATCTGTCCATCCATCTATTTATCTATTTATCTGTCCATCCATCTATTTATCTATTTATCTGTCCATCTATCTATCTTTGAAACCTAAAATCTTAATAAAACCAATTTCTTGATTAGCTAAGAAGGACTTTCTAGTTGTAGACATAAACACAAATAAGTTGTTCAGAACAAATATTTGTCTTTTTGAACCGGCTTAAAAAAGTAGAACATTTCAAACTTATCATCGCATTTCTTAACTTTAATAATTTATTTTAATTAAAGGAATTAAGTCTTTGCCACGGACTATGATTTTAAAATTCCTATATCTTTACAACCCAATGTCATAGACCTTAGATATTTCAAACTATGACTTATGTTATATCAAATAATCTAAATTTGAAATATCAACGGTTTGCATCATCTGGTTGTACAGATATAGGTATTAGAAAATTAGGATTTGCTGCAAAGACTCAATTCCTTTTACAATATTTTTAAATTTCAATATGATATCAGATGAAAACATTTTGAGACTTCTATATTTCTTGTTTTTCATTCTTTCTTCTTGATCATCAATTCCTCGTTCATCCTTCAATCATACTTTGGGTAATTTTGAAAAAATAATGAATGTATTTGTTAAATGTCCAAGGAGCTAACTAAATTTTCATTTAAAAAAAAAACTAATTCTTGTGTCTTGGATAACTTGTAGTTGGAACCCATGGGAGGGGAAACTAAATTGGGGGGATCAAAAACATTCTTCTAAAAGGAATCGTGTTTTTTATGCCAAAAACTCAAAAGTTCTAATCTCATTATCTTTTCATTCTTATATATTTCAAAAGATTATATGTTCTAACAGAACTCTAAGGCCTATAACATTAGGTAACAAAGATATAAGGATGTCGTAGACCTTAGATATTTCAAACTATTAATACTTATAGATAAAATAATCGAAGTTTGAAAATCAAATACCATCAGGTTGCAAAGATATTGGGATCAGAAGATTTGAGTTTGTGGCAAAAGCTCAATTCCTTTGAGTTTATGACAAAGAATCAATTCCTTTAAAAGTTGTCACAGTGAATAGCAAGATCAAGTATTGTAGATTAGCGCAATTTCATCCAAAAGTTATTAACTCCGATTGATTGGACAGTTTTTAATTTTCGCATTTGACTCTCACCAAGTTTGCATGCTGCAGAAAAAGAAACATTTTAAAATATTTTAAAATAGAAAAACGATTTTATTTTGCATAAACAATTGTACACGGGCTTTCCCATAATATTAAACTGTCTATGAAAATGTTTTAATTTTGAATGCAGAATAATAACTCATTATCTGCTGTCAATAACGATAATAAATTATACAAAATATATTTTACAATGGAAAATATATTTTGTATATAAATTAAATACAATTTTGTTTGAAAAATAAATTAGTGCATGGGACGTAATTGCAAGCAAATATAAATTCACTACGATATCCTTTAAACCCTTTCTGTGCAAAAGTTATGAAGAAAAGTAATTTACACAATTTATAAGAAGTTTTTTAGTTTTTTATTGGCAGACTTGTACCCAAGTACAGACAATCGAAAAAAAAATAAAGTTTTCGCTCTACGATTTATAATTATACAAAATTTACTGTTGACCAAATTTATCAATTGGAGCGTGAAATATTTGATTTTTTATAAATATTAAAAGGCATTGAGTCTTTGCCACAAACTCAAATTTTCTAATCCCTATAATTTTGATATTTCAAACTAAAATTATTTGAAAAAGCAGAATTAATGGCTGCGACATTAAGTTATCAAGAAAATCAGAGTTAATAGCAAAGAATTTGAATGTTTGAAATCGAAAATTTCTTATTTTCAATAATCTGTTAAGGAATTGAGTCTTTGCCACGTACTCTTTTTAACCCCATATCTTTGCAATCAGATGACGTAACCTTAGATGTTACACTATAAGGTTTATAAGATATAAAAGAATTAGAAAACTAAAGTGTGTGGCAAAGACTTAATTGATTTTAATATTTAGGGTGGAACCTTCTCCTTCCTGGTTCCCACCTTTGCAATCTTGGCTTTACCAAAGTGGAAATGTCCAGAGGAATTCCAGGACGGGGTCTGGACAGCAAATGTTACAGAAGAATACAGGTATACAGGTATACAGGTAAACAGGTATACAGGTATACCGGTATACCGGTATATAGGTATAGGATAGGATATTCAGATTTAAAATCATACAGGTATAGGATATTCAGATTTAAATATAGGTATAGGATATTCAGATTTAAATACAGGTATAGGATATTCAGATTTAAAAGGAGTTTTCACCAAAATATTACTGAAGTACTACACTAGTCCACAATCCAGCAAAGGTGTAATTAGATTTGACATTATAAATTTAATAGATTTTCTTACTAATTGATCAGATGCGAACAGCTAATGGAGGAAATTATTGATTGCTGTGAAGGTATAAAGCAGCAGAAAGTACGTGCAATAAAATAAAACCGGTTTAACCCTTCATTCAATTATGTTTTAATGAAAATGACACTTTAATAATTTCTATTGTTCCAATTTTGATTTTGAATTTTGGCTAAATCATTTTAAGTAAAAATTTCCTTTTTCTTTTTACATGCAAAGTTTAAAATTAAATTATCAAACGAAATTGTTTCGAAAAAAAGTTTTGAAATTAAAGTTTTTCCAACTAATCCGACATAGTTTATACAGAAAGTTTTACAAAAACAATGACAAAACATTTTTGGAAATTAAAATTCTTGTTTTAATTTCAAGTCTACTTATAACTTTAAATCCAATTTTCAACACATGCTTACAATGAAATTGTGTACAGTGGTTACATAAAATAAAGTGGAACGAAATTGTGAAATCTAAAAGTCAAACCTTAAAATTTTGGATTATAAATTATCATTACATTTAATTTGAAAAAGTATATTTGAGGGAAAAAAATTGTTTTTAATTATAATAAAATTAAGAAATGTTTACTATACTGAATTAAAGTAAAACAACTTGCAACATTTAAATTTATTGGAATAGAATTAACTAATCAAAACTTCCTGCATTGGACCAAAGTTTAAAAGGAACAATAAAAACACAGTGCAGTGCATTTTGCATGTTTTGTTTTGAATTTGCATTCAATTAAGAATTTGTAGATTCATACAGGTCACCAGATTTTTTCTCAGGGTTTTGCACTTCTTCTGAATCTTACTTTTCAATAAAAAGGAAATGTAAGCGTATTGTTTGGGGTGAAAAAGTTTTATTTATGATTATTATATATTTTCTTCATAATAATTGCGCTAGTCACTTTTGTAGAGAAATCACAATTGAAATTAACAGTTTTTAAAACTATAAACAATGATATCTTATTCATAACGATCTAACAAAGTTTTAGGGATAACGATCGAGGATCGTGTAAGGTCACTTGAAATAACGCATCCAGTCACTTAAAACCGTAAAGAAATTTGCTATCTCTTATTGGCCGAGAGCATAATTTTTGTGGTTTCTGATTGGTCGATGTTTCCAACAACTTTCGAGATATTCCAATCGAATAAACTTAATCTGTTGAACCAAAATATGAAAGCATTTTAGTAGTACAAAACATGGCATCTCTAGAACGTCTGGACTTTCTGGAAACTGTCTTTTTTCCATTAACTAAAACTTTTCTTATATCTTTGCAACCCGATGTCGTAGACCTAAGATATTTCAAACTATGAATTCTGTTAGATAAAATAATCTATAGTTTACACCATCAGGCTGCAATTATATAATGATTAATAAGTTTGAGTTAATTCCTCTAGTGTTGGTCTAATAACGTTTGTTCCTAGAAACTCTATGTACTGGTTTTTTGTTCATGGTTTAAAGTAATTTATATTATTAATTTACATGAAAATAATAAAATAGATAAATTTAACGATGGTAGGAGGTAGAGTGTCTTTTTTAATATTCATATGTGAGACAAAGTAAATTTATCAACAAAATAAAGAATCACGAAATAGTTTTTTTTTATTTTCTTTAGCTTTCAACCTTTCATATTCAATGTAGCAAAAAAAACATAAGAAAAACCTCTGCTTTCCTAAAGGTATAACAATCAGTTTTAATTTTGGTTGACATCATCTAAAAAAACTTTAAAATTTTTTTACAGGATTTAAAATTTTTTTTTATCTTTTTATAAAAATCTGATATTTTCTTGAAAATTTTTCTTTGAATGATGTTTTATTTACAATTTGTATTGTTTTAAAGGGACATCAGTAAGCGGAATTTTAAGTGATGCTCGATTCACAACTGTAATCTTGAAAATTGATTAATAATGTGGAAGATATTGTCGATTTTCTAGGATTGAAAGTGATTAATTTTGATAATGTGTTCCTGCAGTAGAAATGCGCAAGTCACATTTGTAGAGAACCCGCATTTGAAAATAATCAGCTTTCCAAATTATAAGCATTGATATCTAAATCATATTTGATCAGACAAAGCTTTTAAAGGTACTATTGTGAATCTGGCATTGCCGTTTTTGCAATGAAGGTAATAGAAACTACGCTTACAATCCCTTTTACTGCGAACAGCAATAAATCTACATTTCCTGTATTTTAGGACAGAGATTTGGCAGCTTAGAATGCGAGAAATTCAGGAACAGATATATTAGATAAATTAGCTACATAACAAAAAATAAATTAAAGGAAGTGTTCGCGAAAAATAAAAGAGGGTATAGGCTTACTGCGAAAAAAAAGCATTTTCGATCGCTACTAATCATACTTTTTTCTTTTGCGTCTACAAGGAGAAAATTTTTAAAAACTACTCATACCGAAGAACGTAGCGTCCATACAAATTAATAAAGTTGAAAAATTCAACTCAGATCGTAAAAGAAAACAATTTAATTCCAAACAAATCATTTAGATATTACAACCAATAATCATCGATTACTTTTCGACACATTCGTATATAATTGATATTTCATAATGTTTTTTTTTAATTTTTTATGCTCTGATAGTTACTTTTGAAAACATTCTTTTCTTGTTTCGAGGATTTTTGATAATGAAGACGACATGTTCATTTTTTCCAGGAAAATGCGAAAATCCATTGCCAGCGAAATATCATTTTTAAAAAACGAAATAAAAAATATTATGAAATATTAAATATTTGCGAATTTGTCGAAAAATAATCTGTGACTATTGTTTGTAATGTCTGAATGATTTTTTGGAATTAAATTGATTTTTTACGATCCCTGTTGAATGTTGCAACTTTCTGAATTTGTATGGATGCTTCGTTCTTCAGCATGAGTCGTTTATAACAATTTTCTCCTTATAGACGCAACAGATAGAAGTAATATTAGTAGCAATCAAAAGCGCTTATTATTCGTCGAAAGCATATACCCCCTTTCATTTTTCGCGAACACTCCCTTTAAATACAACAAATAAATTAGTTACATAACAAAAAATAAATACGCTACAACAAATGTATTAGATAAATAAGTTACATAACAAAAAAAATAGATGCAGCAAATAAATTAGATACAGCAGATAAATTATATACAAAAGATATGTTATATAAATAACAGCAAATAAATTAGATAAAACTGATAAATTAAATACAACAAAAAAATAAGATACAACAGATAAATTAAATACAAGAGATAAATTAAATACAACAGATAAATGAAATACAACAGATAAATGAAATACAACAGATAAGTTAGATACAGCAAATAAATTAAATACAACAGATAAATTAAATTCAACAGTATAAATTAAATACAACAGATAAATTGAATACAACAGATAAATTAGATACAACAGATAAATTTTATAAATTTGGTAAATCAGATAAGTTACATAATATAAATCAGATAAGTTACATAATATAAATAAATAAGATAAATTTGGTAAATCAGATAAGTTACATAATAAAAATAAATAAGATAAATTTGGTAAATCAGATAAGTTACATAATAAAAATAAATAAGATAAATTTGGTAAATCAGATAAGTTACATAATATAAATAAATAAGATAAATTTGGTAAATCAGATGAGTTACATAATATAAATAAAAAAGGTAAATTTGGTAAATCAGATAAGTTACATAATATAAATAAATAAGATAAATTATATACAACTGTAAACGCCGGTCCGTTGCAAAGTATTCGGACCTACTGTTAAACAGCTTGAGCAAGCTATACAGCACACAAACAGCTTGAGCAACCTATACAGTACACAAACAGCCTATAAAGGCAAAATTTGACAGTGCTGCACTAAATGAATTCACCCCTTCTATGGAGATTCTAGCGCTACATGAACTGTGAAAACAAGCTTACGAAATATTTATTTTTTATATCTGTTTGTCCGCAGGGAGCTATCTGTGTGTCTGCTATCTTACAAATTATACTTGGATACTGTGGTATCATTGGGTTCTTACTTAGGTATATATAGTACATACTTGGATACTGTAGTATCATTGGGTTCATACAGGTATATACAGTACATACTTGGATACTGTGGTATCATTGGGTTATTACTTAGGTATATACAGTACATACTTGGATACTGTACTATCATTGGGTTCATACAGGTATATACAGTACATACTTGGATACTGTGGTATCATTGGGTTCATACAGGTATATACAGTACATACTTGGATACTGTGGTATCATTGGGTTCATACTGATATATACATTACATTCTAAAATTGGTAATTGAAAAGTTTGCGTTAAAGGGACTGTAAAGGAAAAATTAAAGGGGGTACAGACTGAAACCTGAGAATCTCAGGTTTTGAACGATACATATAAGACATCTATCTTATGTTCCTGTCTCGAGAAATTGACATAAAACTGTGTCAAAATTTTACCAAAACGGGCAAATGCCAGATTTTGTATAAAAGTTGTAGTATTAAACAGATCATATTCAACAATTACAATTCTATAATGTCTAATGTATGGCTACTGTGCCATGTAAATTTAAAATCTTATAGTAGGAGGTGAGTAAAACAAACGCCTTAAAAAACATATGCAGAAATAATATATCTCTAGTAACATTTCTTTGGTAAATTAAAGTTTTTTTTAGATACATAACTCCACTGACGATAACTCCGGCAGTTGCAATGATTGGGATATCTCTATTTCAGGCAGGGTGCAACTTTAACGTTAAAAATATTCTAAATATTAGATTGTTGTCTGAATTAGTTCTAGTTATGAATAGTTAGAATATTTGGGCTTTTTTCATTAATAAATATTCTCTTTTAAATCTGGACTTCAGGAGAATATTTGCACATAATTTGCAAACACTCATATTCAACATATTTGCATTTGGGTTTCTACAGTTACGTTCTATTCACTATGGTGTACCTACTCCTACTCATATCCTGGTATACCAAGAGTATGGTGTGCCTACTCCTACTCATATCCTGGTATACTAGGAGTATGGTGTACCTATTCCTAATCAAATCCTGGCATTCTAAGAGTATGGTGTACCTACTCCTATCCTGGTATACCAAGAGTATGGTGTACCAACTCCTACTCATATTCTGGTATGCTAGGAGTATGGTGTACCTACTCCTACTCATATTCTGGTATGCTAGGAGTATGGTGTACCCACTCCTATCCTATAGTATACTAGGAGTATTGTATACCTACTCCTATCCTATAGTATACTAGGAGTATGGTGTACCTACTCCTATCCTGGTATACTAGGAGTATGATATACCTACTCCTATCCTATAGTATACTAGGAGTATGGGGTACCTACTCCTACTCATATTCTGGTATGCTAGAAGTATGGTTTACCCACTCCTATCCTATAGTATACTAGGAGTATGGTTTACCTACTCCTATCCTATAGTATACTAGGAGTATGGTATACCTACTCCTATCCTATAGTGTACTAGGAGTATGGTATACCTACTTCTATCCTATAGTATACAAGGGGTATGGTTTACCTTCTTCTATCCTATAGTATACAAGGAGTATGGTGAACCTATTCCTATCCTATAGTATACTAGGAGTTTAGTGTACCTACTCCTATCCTACAGTATACTAGGAGTATGTTCACCCTACTCCTATCCTATAGTATACTATGAGTATGTTCACCCTACTCCTATCCTATAGTATACTAGGAGTATGGCATACCTACGCCTATCCTATAGTATACTAGGAGTATGTTCACCCTACTCCTATTCTATAGTATACTATGAGCATGTTCACCCTACTCCTATCCTATAGTATACTAGGAGTATGGTGTACCTACTCCTTTCCTATAGTATACTAGGAATATGTTCACCCTACTCCTATCCTATAGTATACTAGGAATATGTTCACCCTACTCCTATCCTATAGTATACTAGGAGTATGGTGTACCTACTCCTATCCTATAGTATACTAGGAGTATGGTGTACCTACTCTTTATCCTTTAGTATACTAGGAGTATGCTCACCCTACTCCTATCCTTTAGTATACTATGAATATGTTCACCCTACTCCTATCCTACAGTATACTAGGAGCATGGTGTACCTACTCCTTATCCTTTAGTATACTAGGAGTATGTTCACCCTACTCCTATCCTATAGTATACTAGGAATATGTTCACCCTACTCCTATCCTATAGTATACTAGGAATATGTTCACCCTACTCCTATCCTTTAGTATACTAGGAGTATGGTGTACCTACTCCTATCCTATAGTATACTAGGAATATGTTCACCCTACTCCTAAGGGACTACGTCAGCTGTAAAGCTGTCCAAGGGACCTTGTGTCTTGAATTTTAAGTTTATTCCTCTGCAATTCTATTTATTCTTCACAGAGAATTGGAAGTAACAATTTATCTATTTTCCCTCTAAACACACAAACACGGATATTTAATAAAAGTGTTGGCGTAGTGTTGGGGGAATTTCCCCTAATTCTGATAATGATTGCTACAAATTGGTAAATTTTAAAATAAGTTTGAAAAGGTAAGGGCTTACTGAGGTAATTTGAAAATTTACCCTCGCTGTTTCAGTTAGCAAGAACACCCTTTGAAAATAGTTAAATTTAGAACAGAAAAAAATAGATTCGTTGTGAATTTTATGAACGGTTTTCAGTTTGACATTGTATTGATTGAAGATTAACGTTTTTTCGTTCAATTTCGTACCTTCAAAGGCGTACCTGACCGTCAATAACCTTTTATCTGGGTTTATTAAAATGTTAATTCGATTTTACCGGAATTTAAGTATTTTATCCCAAAAAGCATATTAAAAACTTCTGATCTAACTGCTTTAAACCAGATTTATAAGATTTCTTTTTTTCCTTTTAATACTCGCAAATGTCAAGATGAGTTAAAAGTTTAATGTTAAGTTGGACTGCACTTTTTATTGAAAAATATGAAATTATACTTTGGAATTTTAGTCAGGGGTGTACATTTTTCTCAAAAAAAAATTGCGCTCTCCTTTTTCAAGAAAGGTTCCCTGGCTAATTTTACAAGTCAGAATATGGGAAATTTTGGTTTTCTTCTTCACCCTAAACTTAATCTTTATCCGAGTGAGAGGAAAAAAGCACAAAAATCTTCATTTTTCAACGACTGTTAAATTTGTAAATATTGAAATATGTCATCAGATCAATTCATTTGTCGAACCTTTGAATGATCAATTTTTTCAATGGAAAAATGGTCTTAATTTTTTTTATCGGTTTTAGACTGGTCTATTTATTTATAGGTTTCCAGCTCAGGTCAACAATAAGTTTGCCTAATAAAATATATGTAAATATTTCTTGTATGATTGGGATTCTTAACATTATCATTTTTATTAATTTCGTCTTGAAATAGTCCGAGTTTTTTTATAATTTTGTCCTAAAATAATCATAGTTTTTTTATTTTTCGTCCTGAAATAATCAGAGTTTTTTTTTTAAATTTCGTCCTGAAATGATAAGAGTTTTTATAATTTCGTCCTGAAATGATAAGAGTTTTTTTTTATAATCTCGTCCTGAAAAATAAGAGTTTTTATAATTTCGTCCTGAAAAAATAAGAGTTTTTATAATTTCGTCCTGAAATAATAAGAGTTTTTATAATTTCGTCCTGAAAAAATAAGAGTTTTTATAATTTCGTCTACCCTGCCCACTCACTATTGTTTGACACAGTGGATACGGACCAGGTCAAACTAAAGTAAATTGAAAGGAAGATTATGTTCTTAAATGTTTTTCATCTCATATTGAAGTGCTATTGAGAAGAACAAAAATCTAGTATGTAACAAGATAAGATTGTTTTCATCATACGAAATGAAAACTAGAGGCGCTGAGCGATTCAAAAGTCGTATCTGCAGTCATGTCGTATGAATTTGACCTTTTGCAATATTTAAAAACAGAAAGGCTCATTTTCCAGTAACCTAAAACGTAATGTAGGGCAAAGGGCTAAAAAAATCTGCAAAAACTATAATTTTTCTGCAATAAAATACATTATTCCTGGAACAGAAGATATAAAAGCGTACATCGACATTTAAATATTTGAAAGCCAATTTACTTCAAATCGGATTTAATTAAACTTTTTGGGCACAATGAAGGTGTCTATTCGTCTATTTATAAATGATTGCATTTTTTAATTAGATGTGACAAAGAATAAACGATAATTTTTAGTTGGCTTCACTCTCCGAATAAATTGATTTTTTTTTTTTTAATTCATAAAAATTGTCTAGACACCAGAAATACAGGGTGTTAGGGTCAAGCGACATAGGGTCAAACGACCTAGGGTCAAACGACTCAGTGTCAAACGACTCAGGGTCAAACGATCTAGGGTCTAACGACAAAGGGTCAAACGACCTAGGGCCAAACGACTTAGAGTCAAGTAACCCAGGGTCAAACAACTTTGGGTCAAACGACCCAGGTTCAAAAGACTTAGGATCAAACGACCTAGGGTCAAACGACCCAGGGTTCAACGACCTAGGATCAAACGAAATAGGGTCAAACGACAGGGTCAAACGACAAACGGTCAAAAACCCGACAAAGGGTAAAAAGACAATGTGTCAAATTGAAAAAAAAAATATTTTATGTATTATTTCAGGGTTAGGTTAGGTTAAGACAATTTCTGGGCCAAGCGCTGCGGATAGGACATGCTAGGGGGGCCGAGCGCTGCGGCTCTAGTTCTAAATCTAATTAACATAATAATAGTTAAAATTAACCAAAATAGTAAAAATGAAATTTTGCCCGTTTGTTGCACTTGTTAACCCTATGTTGTTATACCCTTTGTCGCGTTTTTGACCGTTTTTCGTTTGACCTTATGTCAGTGAATCCTTTCAAGTGACCTACCATGCAGAGATGCTATTATGCCCGATTTACAAGGGTACCTTTAAAAACTTTGATTGATCAAGTAGAATTAGATAACAATGTTTTTGTTTATTTAAACGGTTTCTTTTCGTTTGTGGTTTCTCTAAAAAAGTTAGATGCGCATTTATCAGATCACGGTTTCAAAGTTCACGTTTAAATCGGGCATTGCATCTTTGCGTCTTTGCATCTTTAACCCCAAAAAATATTGCACATTTTTATTTTAAAAATAATATTTAAAGTTTATGTGTACTGCAGGCAGCCTCACACAACGCTGAAGGAAACTGGGGAATAGCTTTATTGTAAGTTTTATTTTATTTCACAAACAATTTCAAGAATAAATTCTGCTTCGTCTTGAAACCTTTACGACATTAAAAAGTTTCAAGAATTCTTGTAAACCTGTTAAAGTTACGATACATAAACATTTTTCCACAGAGTAAAGGATGAGTTTTACACAACAGTAATATTTTTTACGAATTTTAATGTTTTAGGCTGAAAAATATTTTTTTTAAACGAACAAAATTAGCTGAAAAACAAACTTTTGTGTACACTGTACACTGTACACTTGGAATCTATGTAAGAAAGTCCCGGGAAAAAAAGTTTCTGAAAAAAAACCTGGAAATAAAAACTTTGGAAAAAAGTCCGAATTTTATCAAGTTCTTGGAAAAAATGTCACTGGAAATAAAGTCCTGTGTTTTGGATTCCTGGGACTTTTTTTTCTAAAATAGTCTGGGGACTGCCAATAAAGTCTAAGGAAATAAGATCCCAGGAAAAAAAGAAGTGAAGAAAATAAATCCGAGGAAAAGAAAAACCTAGAATTGTGAATCATGCATTTTCACTTGTTAGAGGACTTTTTTCCGAGGACTTTTTTGTATAAAATCATACTGGAGCCAGAAAAAAAGTCCTAGAAAATAAAGTCTCGAATTGGTAGGACTTTATTTCCGGAGACTTTTTAATAAAAGGACTTTTTTCCACAGGACTTTTACAGTGTGAAATTTTAGGACTTTTTTCCGGAAACTTTTTTTTCAAGGACTTTTTTGGCGGTTACCGTACAGTTGCTGTGTTTCATTTGCATCAAACTATTTAAAATCTTCAGATAAAATACTTGAGTCTAACAGTCCAAGTTTACAGTTCTATGAATGTCATCACATATTATAAAGTTGTAACTTTGTAAGGCCTTTAATACTTGACATTAAACTTTATTGATAGCAAATTATGTTCACGAAACGCTGTTGTGTAAAAATTGCCAAATAAGGACATTGACATCTAATTTCATATATCTATGATATATGACGAAAGAAAAATAGTTAAAGACTAAAAGTGAATTTCAATTTATGATTCCAGACCATTTATAAATTTCGCTAACATAGATCCAGACTGCTTAAAAAAGTTGCACCAATTTATAAAACTGGGTCGACTGTAAAGTGTTGGAACACTTTAGCTTTTGATTTTAAACTTTTTTGTAACCCCAGACATAAACAATTTAGGACTGTAAAGCTCTTTTTTTATCATAAGTTTTTAATAGTAATTGGCAAGATTCTAATCGATTTTTGCGTTAAAGCTTTTAACCTGTGGATTATTATAACCCAGTTTTTTACATTATTTTTAAAAATTAATATATATCAATTATTCCGATTTCCTTACTTCATGATGTTTTTCTATATATTTTCTCTGGATCTGAATCCAATCATGCAATTTCCTCTCTGCAATAATTTCCTTCTATTATTCTATTATTCATATAATTGGGAAACGGAACTTGCAAATCATACAAATTCTTCAGAGAGGTTGAAACTTTTGTAGAACTAAGGTATGAGATTTAAAAGTGTTGCCCCCCCATATTCTACTTGTTAGTGGGCTTATATAAGGGCAGTAAGATACACATTGACTCACAAATTCCTACGTCCCACGGGGTCGTGTCAAAGGAACTGAGTCTTTTCCAAAATACAAACTCAAATTTTCTATAATTATATCTTTGCAACCTAATATATTCTTTGATATTTCAAACTTAGATTATTACATCTAATTCCCATATATCTCAGGTCTACGACATTAGGTTGCAAAGATACAGGAATTAGAAAATCAGAGTTTGTGACAAGACTTAATTCCTTAAAAAGATGGGAATATCCATAAATTGAAAGTTACAAACTACAAAAATTAGAAAGGCTTAGAGAAATAAACGTTCGGAACCTTATTATCATCCTTTTGTTATGGAGAGCGTTGAGAGAAGGAAGCCTTACAATCCTATCCAGAGAAATACCACTCGGTACTTATAGATTTCATTAGGTCTTTAGGGAATTCGCTAAGTAGCGAAACACAATCATTCATCCTTTCCTTCATTTATTAATTCAATCCTTCATCCTTTCTTTCCTTCTTCCCAAGAAAAATATTCTTTCATTTTTTCATTCTTATTCCTTTTTTCTATAGTTTAAGTCAAGGAAAAAGTACTGATTGAAGATTTTACAAGAATTTAAGAGTTAAGTTCAAATTTTTCAGCGGGATGTTATAATTTCTCACTTTATATAACTTCGGTCTCTTGGGGAATACATTTCCGATCCTCTGAGCTCCGGGCTTTTATATGGATTCATAAATATTAAAGTTCTCATCAATAATATTCTCCCTGGTATATGCTCTAGTCTTTAAATAAGCTGGCTTCATATATTTTACAAAGAACAGAAGTTTGAAGGATTTTTATACAAAAACCAGGGATTTGATTTTTGGGAGAATTCTTCATTCATAGAAAAAAAAATATTTTTAACAACAAAAATTATGATTTTCTTATTAAAAATATTTGACTTGCTGTTTTGCAGTTCCGGGTTAACAGTAATTTCAATTCACTCTCTAGTTGTTAAAGTACCAATCAACCAAAATATCGTCGGTTTTGCAGTTCCGGGTTAACAGTAATTTCAATTAACTCTCTAGTTGTTAAAATACCAATCAACCAAAATATCGTCGGTTTTGCTCTTGAAAAGTGGTAAATATCAAGTCAATTTTCTTCTTTGTCTCTCCTCAATAAATGTCAAGTTTTTGGGAAAATCCAGTCTTGGATTTTCCACTTTCAGACAGAAAACATGAATATTTTCCTTATATTTGCTCAGACAAAGACTTAAAGGATGACTTTTAAATTACAAAATTCCTAATTAATGCATGTTTATTCAGAACAATAGTTGTGATGGTTCTCTTTAGTCAGTATCTCAGGGAAGTCGATGTACCCGGAGTAAAATATAGCCAGGTTAGTATCTGATTATACTAATATATAATGTTTGGGGTCGGCTGAAATACAGTAGATTTCCCTACTATTATATAATGTTTAGGGTCGGCTGAAATACAGTAGATTACCCTACTATTATATAATGTTTAAGGTCGGCTGAAATGGAGTAGATTTCCCTACTAATATATAATGGTTAGGGACGGCTGAAATGGAGTAGATTTCCCTACTAATATAATGTTTAGGGTCGGCCGAAATGGAGTAGATTTCCCTAATAATATATAATGTTTAGGGTCGGCTGAAATGGAGTAGATTTCCCTAATAATATGTAATGTTTAGGGTCGGCTGAAATGGAGTAGATTTCCCTACTATTATATAATGTTTAAGGTCGGCTGAAATGGAGTAAATTGCCCTACTAATATATAATGTTTAGGGTCGGCTGAAATGGAGTAAATTGCCCCTGTTAAAATTGTTCCCAATTCTTCTAACTATTCTACTAATGTGGGGACTGTGCGCTATCCTAACTGTCACGGAAGCAATAGGAAATACTCATCAACCATACACTGTACACTATACACTTTTCACTATACAATTTTCACTTTTCACTGTACACTGTACACTGTACACTGTGCACTGAACACTGAATACTGTAGCTGTACACTGCACACTGTACATATATACTTTACGTTTTACTGTACATTTTTAAAGTATATTTAGACCGCACATTTATACTTTACATTTATAACATATATTTAATACCTTAAAGTAATACCGTAAATTTGTACTGTATATCTCGTATATTTATACAATACATGTATCATGTATCGTACGGTGTACGCCGTAGATTTGTATATTGGATAACATTACAATCTGTAATCTCTCATGCATTGTTCACAATTATTTTCTGTGGTTTTTTTGGAATTTTTATTGAAAAGACTACATTTGAAAAATTTGTAGAAATCTACAAACAAATACGTAAAGAATAAGCAATTCAATATAATGATGAAAGTGAAATAATTGATTCTAACATTGATTTATTGACAAATTTCTATTGAGAAATATCTTCCTAAACATCTAATTAGCTTACTGCAGAATTTTTGATACATGTTTTGTTGTCATTATATAGTAATTTAAAATATCGATTCTCAAAACGTAACTACCCGAATGAGTGATTTTGCACGTCGACTTTGCACTCAAACTCAGTAATTATACATCATCAAAACGTTTTACATGTCTCAAATGAATCCTAAAAGATTCCTCCATAATACTACATTCTTAGTTTAACTGACATACATTGCCGGTCACTCCCTTAAAGGGGCCATTCACTTATTTGGGTAAACTTGAGGGTAAACTAAATAGCGTATTAGCTATTCATTGGTATTACTCATACTTTTCAAAGACAACTGTACCCTGAGAAAAAGCTGATTTATCATTCAGAATTCCGGCGCAAAGGTATGATACCTTTGCATAGACACTATTTGATGCTTTTTGTCATAGTCATGGTTTTTAAAAAAATTTTAAATATTAAATCAAATTGTAGTATCTAAAAGTTAATTGTAGACATCTTTAATTTAAAAAAAATTATTTTTAAATTGTCTATTTTCAACATTTGACGGTTTGATATGTGTTCTCTACTTCTCCAGAAATCCCCGTGATTTATTTAAGAATTGGAACCGGTTTGTCTTTGATAGAAAGTCGTCTTTGTGTAAACGTGTTAATTTTTTAAATCATATTTGAACAGGAAAAACGTTAATTTCCTTTGAATTCTAAAATCAAAATTTTTTATATTTTCTTATACAATTGCTGACACAAAATTGTCATTGAAATATGATAATATTAGATTTTATTGGGCTGCTGTTACTGAAAAACATTTAATTAGTGTCAAAGGTATCATACCTCTCCGCTGGAATTCAAAACGATAAACCGGCTTTTTCTCCGGTCATAAATATCTTTGAAAAATTCGACTAATTCCAATAAATTGATAGATACACTATGAAATTACCCAAATAAGTGAACGGTCCCTTTAAATAATTTTTTTAAAAAGTTTGATAGAATTTTTTGAGAGGGGGGGGGTGGGGATATGAATTAATTGTTTGGGTAAAAACGTGAATAATTTTGAACCTTTCCTGATATATAAGTTTAAAGATTAAATAAAAAGAACCGAGGGGAAGAATATTCTATTCTAGAAAATGGAAACTTATCGACTTGAGCGTAAAAACAATATTGAATTCCATTAAATTGTAAACCCGGACAATTCACATAAAAAGTCCCATCATATAAAGCTTAAAGCAATCTCGTTCAATTCCAAAATAAGGATAGAAGATCAAGCTTAACGGGGGAAGGAAATATTTCTAGTTTTATAAAACAATGAAATATGTAGTACCAAAATTACTAAACTTATAAATCCAGATTAGAAATAGGAAATGTTTGGATGAATTCATATAAGAAACAGGAAAGGCTATATGAGTGAAATGATATGAACATCAATAGGAAAGGTTAGGATGCATCCATATAAGAAACAGGAAAGGTTAGGAGGATGCATCTATATTAGAAACAGGAAAGGTTAGGATGAATCCTTATAAGAAACAGGAAAGGCTATGTGAATGAAATGATATGAACATCAATAGGAAAGTAAAGATGAATCCATATTAGAAACAGGAAAGGCTATGATGAATGAAATGATATGAACATTATCAGGAAAGGTTAGGATGAATCCATATTAGAAACAGGAAAGGTAGGGATAAATCCATTCAAGAAACAGGAAAGACTATGATTAATGAAATGATATGAACATCAACAGGACAGGCTAGGATGCATCCATGTAAGAATCAGGAAAGGTAAGGATAAAGATATGAACAGTAAAGGTTTGGACGAATCCAATGATAGAAATAGAATATGTATGTATGTAGAAAATGTCCGAATAGTTCGAGTTTAATTCCTGGACATTACTCCTGAATTTACAAGTTCAAAAGAAACCTAGAGCATATATGACAAGGCAACCTGGAGGTTTGTAGGAGATAAATCTTGACCATGAGAAATAAAAGTTAAAACAAGGTTTGTAAAATTCAGCTTCAAGGTTAAAGTCAAACAAAGATAACACATCAGATTTGACCGAATCAAGTTACTATATTGTACTTATATTGTACTCATCTTGTATCCTGGCAGCACTGTATCTAAAGATGAAGGTTTATGTTTCTTATTATTAGTGAACATGTTTTGATTGTATCCTACTACTGTAACTAAAGACAGAATATGATTGTGTCCTAGTACTGTATCTTAAGACAGGATTTGATTGTATCCTAGAACTGTATCTAAAGACAAGGTTTGATTTTATTTTAATATTGTATCTAAATACATGGTTTTATTGTATCCTAGAACTGCATCTAAAGACATGGTTTATTGTATCCTAGAACTGTATCTAAAGGCAAGGTTTGATTGTATTCTATTAACGTTTCACTATCTACAGATATGGTTTTATTGTATCATATAACTGTATTTAAAGACAAGGTTTGATAGTATCATATAACTGTATCTATAGACAAAGTTAAATTGTATCGTAATACTGTATCTAAAAACAGAGTTTGATTGTATCCTAGAAATGCATCTAAAGACATGGTCTGATTATCTCCTTGTATTGTATCTCTAAACAGGGTTTGGTTGTATCCTTGTATAAGGAAAAACAGGGTTAGATTGTATCCTAGTACTTCTAAGAACAGGGATTGATAGTAATGTAACCAGGACCAGAGAACTCTGCTAGGACGGATACAAAACTTGCTCTAGTCAGGAACTCAGCTTGGTTTAGGTTCCCCTACCCTTGTAAGCCATTTTTTAAATATTTTTTTTTCATAAAAGATAATAAAAAAATTGTACAAAAATATTTGAAAGAACTGCAATATTTCCTAATAATGTAAACTATTCATAAATACGTATATTTTAAGAAAGAACCAGGAAAAAATCGTTAAAAATATGAAAAAATAGTATTCCGATTCGGATCCGTTTGAATTTACGATACCTTTACTTTACGTTCATCAGGAATGAATAAGATATTTATCTTTTTTCTTTTCAATCCTGGTTTCTAAGAATCAAACAATTTTCAAGTTTGAATAACGACCGTTAAATCAGTAATCAAATAAAAGTTTATAGGATACCGTTGTGAATCGGGAATTACTCACTTTAAATGTATGGTCCTGTGAAATTAGGACGATTATCCTTTAAAAATTAGATTAAAATTCTCTTGAAGCAAAGAATGTTTCTTGAAAATATTAAATATTTAATTTTCTAAGTTTGGAGTTGTAATGCAAAAACTTAGAAGATACAATTGCATCAATGCATAACATTTATTTAATATTTCAAATATCGAAAAGCAATAATCAATTGTGAAAGTATTCAATTCACAAAAAATAGATAATTTTCTGCTAAACTTATAGTTGATATATTTTAAATAGTTTGAATTTTAAAGAGGAGGAAAATTAGCATTTTGTTTGTCTCGATCAGGTTGACTAATTGTTTAATTCATGGTCCTCAGTACACTTTATTATACCATAATGCCAGAAAATTTCTAAAAATATTTATCAAAAAATTTAATACTATTATAGCTACTTTAAGATACCAGGGATACTAGGAATACCGGGTTTAGAAGGGATACCAGGAATACCAAGTTTAGATTGATACCAGGGATACCAGGAATACCAGGGATACCAGGGATACCAGGGATACCAGGGATACCTGGGATACAAGGGATACCAGGGATACCAGGGATACCAGGGATACCTGGGATACCAGGGATACCAGGGATACCAGGGATACCAGGGATACCAGGGATACTTGGGAATACCAGGGATACCAGGGATACCAGGGATACCAGGGATACCAGGGATACCAGGGATACCAGGGATACCAGGGATACCAGGGATATAAAGACACCAGGGATTCCAAGGATACCAGGGATACCAGGGATACCAGGGATACCAGGGATACCAAGGATACCAGGGATACCAGGGATATAAAGACACCAGGGATTCCAGGGATAGTTAAATCTAAAGAATTGGATTTTTAAAATCAAGGATTACAGTCTACTTAGGAAATTCTTAAGAAATACTGCACTGCGCTTACGGAAATATTTCGTTCTTCAAATTTTCCAAGATTTAGAATTTATTTTATTCTCTCCCTTCCCTCCCTCCTGGTCTGAACCTAGCATGCAATGCAGTTGGGCTTCCCAGTACCTTGCCACTGGGTATAGTTGAAAACATTGAAAGCATTGGAAAACCTGGATTTATTTGAGTATGTTTTATGTACTTAAGTCTATAGTTTCTGTACTAAACTGTATATTTTGTTTACTGCCGTGTATAATGTATATATCATGTCCTGCAGTGGATAGCTCGTGTACTGCAGTATATATATCATCTACTGCAGTGGTTATTTCATGTACTGCAGTGGTTATTTCATGTACTGCAGTGGTTATTTCATGTACTGCAGTGGTTATTTCATGTACTGCAGTGGATATTTCATGTACTGCAGTGTTTATATCATGTAATACAGTGTTTATTTCATAAACTACAGTGTTTATATCATGTACTACAGTGTTTTTATCATGTACTACAGTGTTTATATCATGTACTACAGTGTTTATATCATGTACTACAGTGTTTATATCATGTAATACAGTGTTTATATCATGTAATACAGTGTGTATATCATGTAATACAGTGTGTATTTCATGTACTACAATGTTTAAATCATGTAATACAGTATGTATTTCCGCGTTAAGTACTTTCTCAAAGGCGTTTTCCCAAGGGCGACTTCCCAAGTGAAGTTTTTTAAGTGGCAACTTCCCAATGGTTAGGTAAGGCCCTATGAGGCGCCGCAGGCTGAAATGGAGACCGAGCGCTGGGCTAGGATGTGCTAGAAAGCCGAGCGCCACGGTTAGAACAGGATGGGGACAACTTGGATGCGGCAAAGGGCAGACTTGGGAAGTTGCCGTTAGGGATATTGCACATTTGGAAAGTTGCCGTTTGGGATATTGCACATTTGGGAAGTCGCCGTTTGTGATATTGCACATTTGGGAAGTTGCCACTTGGTAAAATACCCTTTAGGAGATGCCACTAGGGAAATATCCTATGGGAAAGTACCCATAGAATATATATATTTTATGCAAAACTTAAAAGAAATTTTCCGGGTTTACCAAACCAAACCTGGCATGCATTTGTCTTGGTGAGAATAATGCAAAATAAAAATATTCTGATAACTTTTTCATTTACAAAAATTGTATCATTGTAGCTTGCATTAATTTATGATTACTTTTCCGTTCATAAATTTATCCTTGAATGGACTCTGTAAACCCGCAATATATTTAGAATGTCGTTTCTTTGTTAGGCGAACTATTTCAGGAAAAAAACATATACTTAGCTTTTAAAATATTTAGGCGCACCGCAAGCACACCCAAGTATTTTTTTGTCTCAAATTTGTGTCTAAAATACCCATTTTTAGCGTTTTCACGAAAATGACTAGTTTTCTGTTGAATGTTGGCACTACAACTCAACATTAATACTACGACAAATAAATGCATTAAGCGACCAAGCCTTATTTGACTTAAAGGGACTGTAAAGGAAAAATGAAAGGGGGTATTAGCTCTTGATCGCGACCCATGAAAGTTTTATCTGATGTTCCTGTCTCGAGAAATTGATATAAAACTGTGTTAAAATTATACGAAAGTTCATGTATGTAAAATTTAGAAAATCTTAAACTTAAATTGTCATTTGAGCGCCCCTGGGCGGTTAGATGGATTGAGGCGCTGCGGTGCCCCTGATGTATAGAGTACGGCGTGAGGGGGCAGGTTACCTGTGCAGCTGTTTACCGGCCCTATTCTGGTTCTACACGGCCCGGGCGGCCAGTTCTCCCACACTGTTCCCTGCCTGTGTCGGCAGTCTACCTCGCCTACCTCACGTGACCAGAACTATCACCAATGGCAGAGCAGTATACTGGTCACTTGTCTCTGCCTGTATCACGTGACCACTTTACTGCACTACCATTGGTGGAATTTTCTGGGCAAGCAATACGAACGTATAAATAATATTATGAATTAAATCTATAAAAATGAAATAACAAATATAAAATTAGAATTGGAGTAAACCTAAGTTACAATTAGCTTTCTCTGGGATATCATCGTTTTCAGATTGGTTGCATATTTGCTGAATTTGATCTTTTTAAACCCACTACTTTTATACAAAATTGTATATATATTAGTTTTAGTATAAATTTGACAAAGTTGTAAATCAGTTTCTCGAGCTAGGAACATCATATATAACTTTCATGGGTCGCGATCAAGAGCTAAAGTGATTAGCTTTCAGCCTATACTCCCTTTCATTTTTCCTTTACAGTCCCTTTAAATAAAAGGTTTCTAGTGCAAACTAAATATTGCTGCCCCCCCCTGATACCCCACTTTGCGGGGGGGGGGGTTGCCCCACACCTTATATAAATTTAGGCACACCCCTATAAACCTGTAAGGGTTACCAAATTTTTGAAAACTCATTAATGAAAGCATCTCATTTGAAGAGTTTTCAAAAAATGCCTGGCTTCGTGTAAATAAAGCTTTAATCAAGACAAAAATTNCCCCCAACTAGATTTTCACAAATATCATCTAGCTCAAGATAAATAAACTTTATAAACTTTCACAAATAAAACAGACATTTAAAGCAATTAAACTTCATATAACACGTTTTAAGAAGGTAAAAACCCAAACTTTGGCAAACCCGGGTTTCAGGAAACCGGGTATCGTAGTAAGTTTCATGATTTTCCTCAGTTTTTAACTCAGTGGCTATTTCATGTACTGCGTTGTATAGTTCATGTACTACTGTATACATTTCATGAAATACAGTGAATATGTCATGCACTGCAGTGTATATTTCATGTATTACAGTGATTATTTCATGTAATACAGTGTATATTTCATGTACTGCAGTGTATATTTCGACATGTACTGCAGTGTCTATTTCATGAACTGCAGTGGATATTTTATGTACTGCAGTGTACATTTCATGTACTGCAGTGTATATTTCATGTACTGCAGTGTCTATTTCATGTACTGCAGTGTCTATTTCATGAACTGCAGTAGATATTTTATGTATTGCAGTGTATATTTCATGTACTGCAGTGTGTATAAACAATTTCAATCCTATTTAATGGTTGTTCCGACGCAGGAAGAGTACAAATGCAGGGAATACAATGTTGTTTCAAAATTCAAGTTTTTATATCAAATATTTTACCAGGCTTCAGACCACCAGGTTAATAATATTATACTCCTGCTTACTTTCTTATTTCAAGATATACTTCTAGGTTTCTAGTATACTTTAGTATTCCTGGTTTGCTTTCTTCTTTTAAGATATACTTCTAGGTTTCTAGTATACTTTAGTATTCCTCGTTTACTTTCTTCTTTCAAGATATACTTCTAGGTTTCTAGTATACTTTATAGTATTCCTAGTTTACTTTCTTCTTTCAAGATATACTTATAGCTTTCTAGTATACTCTAGTATTCCTAGTTTATTTTCTTCTTTCAAGATATACTTCTAGGTTTCTAGTATACTTTAGTATTCCTAGTTTGCTTTCTTCTTTCAAGATATACTTCTACGTTTCTAGTATACTTTAGTATTCCTAGTTACTTTCTTCTTTCAAGATATACTTCTAGGTTTCTAGTATACTTAGTATTCCTAGTTGCTTTCTTCTTTCAAGATATACTTCTAGGTTAGTATTCCTAGTTTACTTTCATATTTCAGAGGCCGAATTGTATTCAATTTTTCAAGATTTAACCCGGCGCTCAATTGAAACCGGTTTTGGAGGAATTTGAGACGCGACAAATGTATTAAATTCGATCACTAAATATACGTACTTCAGGGTTTAAAAGTACACTGAAATGTTAATTTTCCAATTAAAAGTGTGTGGAGCTGTAACAAGAGCTCCCCGAATTATTGAAAGTGAGAAATTTAAAGAACTCTTATAATTAAAATATTATTAAATGAAAATTTGTTCAACCATCACAAAAAAATTTACCTCAAAAAAAATTCGGTCATATTTCTTTCTTTAAAAAAAACTTTTGGCCAGTTATTTTTCTAATTTGTTATTATTTATCTGTGTCAGGGTCTCTATCTACAATTGAGAGGTGAGTTTAAAACCTCTTGGGTAGATTAGTTCCGTATTCTTTGTTTTATAGAGTTCCAGTATTCAGGGGATAAAAGTTTAAGAGAGAAACCAATCTTACTTTAACCAGAGTTGGTTTTGAAGAACCATAACATTTGTATAAAGAAAAGTATTGGAATGATACCGAGCGAAAATTTAGTAAAACAACCATTTTTAATATAAATGTAGTTTATTAAACATAACTTAGTGACAAAATTAAACTGAAATATGCATTTTTTTAGTTATATCAATCCACTTCATAAAATGCATTTTAAGAGGTTCCGTGAAGAAACAGAAATTTCACTTTTAGCTGAAACGAACGGTTTATCATTAAGAGGCATATTCGTTACATTAATTTAGATAGAAAAGGTACAATCAAACCCAGCCATGTACGTAAAACTATACATGTAAATTCTGCTATAATTATCTAATCCCAGTTTCATAGAGTTGTATTATCCTAAGTTCCCGGCTCCCAGTGTGGGAGGTTCCATTTAAACTTTCTTAAACAGAAAATTTACGAACGAGAAAGAATTTATATTTCCTTGAAACATTAAAACTTGTTGGATGGTCTCGTGAATTTAATACACGAGGTTTATTAAAAGAGTTTATATGGATATTTAAAGTTTGAATTTAAAAAACAGTAGAATTTTATCTTCCAGGATAATGCAACAAAAAAAGCTCCATCAAATTTTGTTTACTTATTTCGGTTAAAATTGACAGGTAAATTTTTTTTCAGGGACTCTCTTTACAATTTGAAAAGACCTTTCATTTAAAGAAAGTTTTGTTCAAATCGTCTTTTTTTTAGCTTGAAGTGTTTTTTTAGAAAATTTTGTTTCTGATGGAGAGTGCGATTGTTGCAGTGCAATCTAAACTAAGTTGATTACAGTACAATCTAAACTCAGTTGATTACAGTACAATCTAAACTCAGTTGATTACAGTACAATCTAAACTCAGTTGATTACAGTACAATCTAAACTCAGTTTATTACAGTACAATCTAAACTCAGTTGATTGCATTACAATCTAAACTCAGTTCATTGCAATACAACCTAAACTCAGTTGATTACAGTACAATCTAAATTCTGTTGATTACAGTATAATCTAAACTCAGTTCATTGCAGTACAATCTAAACTCAGTTGATTACAGTACAATCTAAACTCAGTTGATTACAGTACAATCTAAACTCAGTTGATTGCAGTACAATCTAAACTCAGTTGATTGCAGTACAATCTAAACTCAGTTGATTGCAGTACAATCTAAACTCAGTTGATTGCAGTACAATCTAAACTCAGTTGATTGCAGTACAATCTAAACTCAGTTGATTGCAGTACAATCTAAACTCAGTTGATTGCAGTACAATCTAAACTCAGTTGATTGCAGTACAATCTAAACTCAGTTGATTGCAGTACAATCTAAACTCAGTTGATTGCAGTACAATCTAAACTCAGTTGATTGCAGTACAATCTAAACTCAGTTGATTGCAGTACAATCTAAACTCAGTTGATTGCAGTACAATCTAAACTCAGTTGATTGCAGTACAATCTAAACTCAGTTGATTGCAGTACAATCTAAACTCAGTTGATTGCAGTACAATCTAAACTCAGTTGATTGCAGTACAATCTAAACTCAGTTGATTGCAGTACAATCTAAACTCAGTTGATTGCAGTACAATCTAAACTCAGTTGATTGCAGTACAATCTAAACTCAGTTGATTGCAGTACAATCTAAACTCGATGTGTTTAGAATTCAGTGCCCCTAGATTCCATGATATCAATTACAAAGTATTTTATTAGATTTAGAATTCGAAGAAGTCCAGTAACTTCTAATTACATTTTTGTCGTCTCTGTGTTCAGTTATTCGTTTACTATAACTGTTAAAACTGCATTTACCGTCAAAAAAGGATTAAAAATTATTCAGTTTTTTTCAAATGTTTGAAAATTTACTATAAAAAATAATGTACGATTTTTGTTATCTTTGATTAGTTAAATGCTAATCAAAAAGAAAATCAACATGAATTCCTTCCCTCTGAGATATTTACAAAATAAAAATGATTTACATGTTTTCAAATAGAGCAATCCCTTTATTATTTTAGTTCAATGGGGAGTACCTACAGTAACAGCAGCTGGAGTGTTTGGTATGTCTGCTGGAGTACTTGCATCTGCTATAGAGAGTGTTGGTGATTACTACGCATGCGCTAGACTTTCCGGTGCACCAAGGCCACCAACCCATGCCATTAACAGGTATGACTGTGCTTGATTAGTTTTATCAAAAGCAAATAATCATGTTCAGACCTGGAATTTAAAGGTCAAGGTGTAATTTCACAATGCTACGTTTTCCTCTGATAAATATTTATAGGATTTGAGAATTTAAAAATTATCAGACTTTATTAAATACTTTTTAGCATAGTGTGCTTATTTCCAATGCTGTGAGGACAAATATTTTAATATGAAAATTTAACTTTTTAAACACAGATTTTGGCGGCGTTAAACCCAATCAGATTGGGTTTAACTAGAAAGTCTTAAGTTCGAGTCTGAGCCCAACAGACTGGGCTACGTTGTTGAATTTGCCGGTTCAAATTTAAACCACTGATTCAAAGTTAAAGATTGAAGAAAGATTTAAATTGGTGATTCAAATTAGATTTGGCGGGAAACAGTTTAAATTCATTAAATTCGGTCTCAGGTTTCAATATTATCTAGGACATGCAAAATGTTACTTTAACAATGATGACCATAAGATTGTCTCTTCTAATAATCTATTTTGTTTAGAGGAATAGGAACTGAGGGTTTTGGTTGTGTTCTAGCCGGATTATGGGGAACAGGTAGGATTTTAATCCTAAACTTTAAACAGTATTGAATATACCCCTTTCCCTATTTAATGATCACACTGTTAGGACAAAGCATGATGAATTGTGTCAGGGCAGGTTGACCCATCAGACACTCTTATATTGTTTTAACACTTTCATAGCAATCTGTGAGCATTGGCTATATTTCTCCTCTTTGGCTGAATATACAGTCATAGTCAGAAAACTTTGAACTAGGAAGACGACTTTAAGAATCAAGTTACAACTACAATGACCATGAGACCTAACAATTGCAGTGCAGTGTAAACAGACCCATTTCACTAAACTAGTGATTAAATAAATGTCTAAGTATTTGCTTTGTATACAGCATATACAACAATATATACTTAATTAACGTCTTGGTATTGCATTGTTTTCTGGTGATTACTGTATTACTGTTTGCTCCTGATTGGTTAAACAAATTTCTTAGGTGAGAAGAAATTGATACTTCACAGGGCATCTCAAGATACATTTTAGTAATTAGAGACAATTCTTTAAGCGGTTTAAAAGGGTAAGTGTGAGATCGTCATTAAATTTTTTAAAATTTTGAAAATCCGCGAAATTTTTTGTAAAAATCCGCAAATTATTTTTGTTTAGTTTTACGATGTACACAAAGAGAACATGTTTAAAATTAATTTAGAAGATGGGCGCGAAGCGCCCTCTAAGGCTAGAAAGAAGGGCGCGAAGCGCCTTGAATTTCTAGTATATATATAAATGTGTAATCTCTGTTTGTCTGTTTGTTTGTTTCTTTGTTTATCGTCTGATAATTAGGAAACCCCTAGATTGATTTGCGTCAAATTTTGATTGGGGAAGTCGGTAGAACAACGGGAATGCTCTTAGCTTTGTTTTGAAATTTTAAGTTGAGTGGGTCTACTCGGTCTCCTATTATAGGGTAAAATAATAAAAATAGTAATTTACGACTGAGGGCGCGGCGGTTAAACGGCGAGCGTAACTATGAGTATACCCTAGACAACGTTGGGTTCTCAAGTTATTTTAAGATACAGTTGACAGGACCATTAAGTACAAATAAGATTTAATCCGAATGCATAAGACGTGTAACGAGTCAGGGAACTCATATTTAATCCAATTTAATGTCTTAATCCAATAATAAATTAATCCTCTACCCGAACCCTCGTATAATTTATACAAAAGTTTTCCTGCATAAAATTAGTTAAATTAAGTTCTCGTCTTGTGTTTGTGCATTATTGAATGAAGAATATATTTTCTCAACTAAGTGAAACCAGGTTTAGAAGATTTGTTTGAGTTTAGAAGATTTGATGTTTATTTGATGTTAGTTTCAATCTTAGTAATATCATAACTTTCTTGTTTATTAATCAAAAAACATTCAGAAAGGAACTGAGTCTTCGCCATTAGCTCAAATTTTCTAATCCCTTTATCGTTGTAACCTGATGGTGGAACCTTTGATATTTCAAACTTATGTTATTTTATGGAACAGAATTTATAGTTTGAAATATGTAGGGTCTACAACATTGGGTTCCGAAAATATAGGGATTAGTAAATCAAAGTTTGTGGCAAAGACTCAATTCCTTAGCTTAGCTTTTGTATAAAAAGAAGAATAACTTGAAAGTCTATATCCTCATACAGCATACTTAAAAATAAAAGCTAAAACAAGTGGTTTATAATTCTAAAATGTATATGTACAAAAAAGTATAAGTAAGTTATTAAAATGAAATCAAAGACCAAGTTTTTGATTTTTTTCAAAATAATATTACAATTCGTTAAAACTATGTTTGCGGATTTTTCTATCGTCTCCAAAATGTCTAATTGCAAAGTTCACTCTCATGCTTAGAAATAAGAACTTTTTATGTTTGGATCAAGAGGTTTTTGAGAGGTTAGTGAGAGGTTTGTGAGAGGTTAGTGAGAGGTTAGTGAGAGGTTAATGAGAGGTTTGTGAGAGGTTAGTGAGAGGTTTGTGAGAGGTTTGTGAGAGGTTAGTGAGAGGTTAGTAAGAGGTTAGTGAGAGATTAGTGAGAAGTTTGTGAGAGGTTAGTGAGAGGTTAGTATGAGGTTAGTGAGAGGTTAGTAAAAGGTTAGTGAGAGGTTAGCAAGAGATTAGTGACAGGTTTGTGAGAGGTTAGTGAGAGGTTTTTGAGAGGTTAGTGAGAGGTTTGTGAGAGGTTAGTGAGAAGTTAGTGAGAGGTTTTTGAGAGGTTAGTGAGAGGTTTGTGAGAGGTTAGTGAGAGGTTTGTGAGAGGTTAAGTGAAAGGTTTGAGAGGTTTTTGAGAGGTTAGTGAGAGGTTTGTGAGAGGTTAGTGAGAAGTTAGTGAGAGGTTTTTGAGAGGTTAGTGAGAGGTTTGTGAGAGGTTAGTGAGAGGTTTGTGAGAGGTTAAGTGAAAGGTTTGAGAGGTTAGTGAGAGGTTAGTGAGAGGTTAGTTAGTGGTTAGTGAGTGGTTTGTGAGTGGTTAGTGAGAGGTCAGTGAGAGGTTAGTTAGTGGTTAGTGAGTGGATTGTGAGTGGTTAGTGAGATGTTTGTGAGAGGTTATAGTATTTGGTTAGTGAGAGGTTAGTGAGTGGTTAGTGAGAGGTTAGCGAGAGGTTAGTGAGTGGTTAGTGAGAGGTTAGTGAGTGGTTAGTGAGAGGTTAGTGAGAGGTTTGTGAGAGGATTATGGTCGAGAAAGATCATTTTCTAGAAGAATAATTGTTTTGGTCGAAATCTCATTCCGACATTTCGGCCCAAGAGAGTAGAGAAGGGGGAATTAGCAAAGTGTTTTCCGAGGCAAATCCGAGAACTGAGTGTGGGACTTTTGTTGGAGATAGTTTCAGCGGATTAACTCGATAATCAGGATGTAAACTTTTGGATTAACGTGTTACAGTTCCATGGATAAACTTGAAATCCATAAAAAAATTATTAAAATAAGTATTAGGCAAAGATGACAATGCCTGATTCACAACGGTGCCCTTGAAACCTTTATCTGATCAATAATGTGGAAGATATTGCCGTTTTTATAGGTTTAAAAGTACTTAATTCAGATAATTCCCATATGTCTTCCTGCAGTGGAAATGCGCAAGTCAATTTTGAAGAGAATAATAAGTTTTCAAAATTTTCAAAATTGATATAATAATTCATACTTGAATCTTATGGGTACGGTTAAAAATCGGGCATTGCCATATTTGCATGGAGGGTCACTTGAAATTAATCTTATAGTCTAGGGTCTAGGGTTGAAACGTCTCGAGAGGGATAGAAATCGTCTGAGCGCTGACGCCATAGATTAAAGAAACAAAAGTGTCGGCCTCTGTATAAAAAAACTTAGGAGAGAAAGAAAATTGTTGTCCAACAAAACTTTTCAGAGAAAATGAAAAAAACAAAAGTCTGAAGGAAACAGTGTGAGAACTAAGAAAAATATACCTATATGTACAAAAAAGTGTTTTGCACTTCCTGGTTGTAGTATAAACAAACTAAGAGCTGAGCTATATTAATATTCGTTAGGTTCCTGATCGATTTAAGCGATTGTTGTTTCATAGGCCATGATGTTTGAAAAGAGACATGCCCTGCAGTACCCCTGAAAGAGATCGCCGTTTTTTCTCGCAAAAAAAAGTGTTTAAATCACAAAATTTAATGCATCTTGTTTGCGCAACAGAAGTTTGTAATTCACATGTAGAGAACCACAATTGTAAATAATCAATTTAAAGCTCGATAAACGTTGATAATTCATTTATTTCTAATCAAACCAAGCTTTTATGGAATCACTAAAAATCGGACATGCTGTGGAGGCCGGGGCTTATATCGGACATGCCGTGGAGGCTGTGGCTCATATCGGACATGCCGTGGAGGCCGGGGCTTATATCGGACATGCCGTGGAGGCTGGGGCTTACATCGGACATGCCGTGGAGGCCGGGGCTCATATCGGACATGCCGTGGAGGCTGGGGCTCATATCGGACATGCCGTGGAGGCTGGGGCTCATATCGGACATGCCGTGGAGGCCGGCGCTCATAAGGGACATGCCGTGGAGGCCGGGGCTCATATCGGACATGCCGTGGAGGCCGGGGCTCATAACGGACATGCCGTGGAGACAGGGGCTTATATCGGACATGCCGTGGAGGCTGGGGCTCGTATCAAACATGCCGTGGAGGCCGGGGCTCATAACGGACATTCCGTGGAGGCCAGGGCTCATATCGGACATGCTGTGGAGGCCGGGGCTCATATCGGACATGCCGTGGAGACCGTGGCTCATATCAGACATTCCGTGGAGGCCGGGGCTCATAACAGACATGCCGTGGAGGCCGGGGCTCATATCGGACATGCCATGGAGGCCGAGGCTCATATCGGACATGCCGTGGAGGCCGGGGCTCATAACGGACATGCCATGGAGGCCGGGGTTTATATCGGACATGCCGTGGAGGCCGGGGCTCATATCGGACATGCCGTGGAAGCCGGGGCTCATATCGGACATGCAGCGGAGGCCGGGGTTAATTTTAAATTACGTTCCTTCTAGTAAAATCTTGATATCTGAATGAACCTTTCAATTTATTTTATAACATAAATACAATTTTGTCATCCATCATGGTTTGAATTGAACTTGTTTCAGATTTGTGTTATGTTTTTTTTAACTTAGCTAAACTTAGTTTAATGTGTAATAAGAGAAATCTGACAGCTTAAAAACAGCAATTAGGGGGTTTACTTAAGAATTGGTTTTAGAGATTAAAGGAAAAGTAAATCAAAACAAAAACAGAAAACATCTTCAGAGTTTAATCAAACTCTCAAGTTCTTTAAAAGAGGGAATGAAAGAGTTAGATACAATAAAAAGAAGGATTGAAAGTGACAAAATTGATCAATAAAAATATACAATGTTTTGGAATTAAATACACAATCTATAAACGTATCTTACTATAAAAATATGTCACTTATTGCCTACACGATCCTATAAAGGAATCGAATCTCACAAACTCTGATTTTCTAATCCCTAAATCATTGCAACCCAATATCTAAGACTTTAGATATTTTAAAATAAAATTTCTCTTAGATCAAATAATCTAAGTTTGAATTATCCTAGGTGTATTCCATCAGCTCGCAAATATACCAGGATTTGAAATATCCTAGGTGTATTCCATCAGCTCGCAAATATACCAGGATTTGAAATATCCTAGGCGTATTCCATCAGCTCGCAAATATACCAGGATTTGAAATATCCTAGGCGTATTCCATCAGCTCGCAAATATACCAGGATTTGAAATATCCTAGGTGTATTCCATTAGCTCGCAAATATACCAGGATTTGAAAAGTTGCGGTCTTCCTGGAAATTCGGGTTTTCTTAAGTCACTCTAGTTTCCGTAGAAGTAAATATTTACATTTACTGATAGCGCCGAAATAAGGATTTATCTCTAATTGGATAATGAGATAGATAGAAAGATAAATGTTACCGCCATACTATTTCCATTGGTTCAGAATAGACACCAAACACATGACTGAACCCTGATTAGATCAGACGCTAATGGACCGGCATACAGGAGTGAAGTAAAGGAATAATATAAGTTTGAAATATCAAAGGTTTACACCATTAGGTTGCATAGATTTAAGGATTAAAAGATTTGAGTTTGTGGTAAAGACTCAATTACTTTCATGAATGGAATGGATCAAGCAGAAATCTACAAATCTCACTGAAGAGAAATTATAATTTAGCAAATAAAATCATATTATATCTCATAAACTTTCGACCAGACGAGGCATCGTTGTGAATCGGACACTCCACTCTTAAAATAGAAGTTCACGACTATGCAATCCTTTTAAGTGTGGAATGTTTAATGTTCCTTGTTCTGCTACTTCCCGGGCTAAGGTTCATTGTAAAAATTAAAGTTTAATGGAATAATATATTCAACTGCAGAACTATAGTAGAACACTACAGGCGTCAAAATTAATTTTACGACCCACTCAACATGAATCTCACAAAAGTTCTTCCTTATGTAGAGGGGGAGGGGGCAGAGGTATTGATATTATTGAAAGATAGACTTTATCAACTTTTGTAACTATTTCAACTTCTGATTTTTCTTGATTTATAAATTTTTTTTATAAATTATCGCCGGCCATTTTAAATGTATTTTTCAAAAGGTTAAAAGAAGAAAATAATCAATTTTGAAACTTTTACAGAATTTAAAATTCTAAAATCAATAAAGTTGTCGAAGCTGACTTTATACAGGGTTACCCTAAAAGACTAGACTTCAAAGACGAATGAAGATAATAAAATGTAAAATATAAAATGAAAGCTTAGTTTAGCTTTATTTTATTACAGGAATATATTTCAGGCAGAAACCAGATGAACCTTCATTTCGTTCTATTTAATGAGATTGTAATGAGATGAAATAAAATAAAATAATGAAATTTTTCAGATTACAGATTTATTAACATTGATATCTATTCATACTGGATCAGACGGTGCTTTGAAAGGGTACCGTTGTAAATCAAACATTGCCATCTTTGCAGAGGGTTTAACTTTTATTCGATAATATCAGGCAACCCTGCAATTTTAGGAAAAAGGAACTAAGTTCTTGTCGTAAACTTTAAATTTTGAATCCCTATATCTTTTCAACCTGGTTGGTGCAAACTATGAATTCTCTTCTGTCTGTCTAAGTTTGAAATAGCAAAAGATGCAAAGATAAAGGGATCAGAAAGTTTGAGTTTGTGGCAAGTGCTGAGATCATCTGAACGGAGTAGCACCTTTATGACTTGAAATACTATCTAGGAAATGGTACAACAAGCTACAGTGAGAATATTGGAGCTATTGGAGTTACGAAGGTAAAAATCTATATATATTTTGCTCTGTTTGTTTGGATCAAATAAACGTCAAATCCGCAGAACCGATCAGGCCCAAATTTTGTTTAAGACCTGACATGACCCCAGGGAATGTTTATGAACCATCAAAATTTAAGAAAAAATCCTGGAAAAAAAAAGTATTTTTATGTTCCTGAAAATTCACCAATTCGAATTGAAAAATCTGCGAATTGAGTTTTTGCCACAAGCTCAAATTATCGAACCCTCTTTTCTTTGAAACCTAATGTAAAACTTGGGCTTTTTGGCGTAACAGAATTAAATTTTGAAATATGGAAGATCTACGACATCGGGTTGAACAGACAAAGGGATTTTAATTTTGAGTTTGTGGCAAGAAATCATTTCATTTCAGAATGATTAAAGGGAGTGTTCGCGAAAAATGAAAGGGGGTATAGGCTTAATGCAATAAAAAAACGCTTTTGATCGCCAATAATTTTACTTCTATCTGTTGCGTTTATAAGGAGAAAATTTTTAAAGACGTCTCATACCGAATAACTTAGCGCCCATACAAAATCAGAAAATTGCAACATGCGACTTAGACCGTAAAAAATCAATTTAATTTCAAACAGATCATTCAGATATTACAACCTATAGTCATCGATTATCTTTCGCCAAATTTGTATATAGTTTATATTTAATAATATTTAATAATTAATTTCTTTTGAATTTGATTATTTCTCTTGCGGCTTGCGCAACTATCTAAGAATGCAGCGCACCACTCACATTTTTTGAAATCCGTTAAATCTAAAAAAATAAAATATTATAAAATATAAACTATATACAAATGTTGCGAAAGATAATCGATGACTATAGGTTGTAATATCTGAATGATTTGCTTGAAATTAAATTGATTTTTTTCTGTCTAAGTTGTACGTTGCAATTTTCTGAATTTGTATGGGTGCTAAGTTATTCGGTATGAGACGTCTTTAACAATTTTCTCCTTATAGACGCAACAGATAGAAGTAAAATTAGTGGCGATCAAAAGCGCTTTTTTATCGTATTAAGCCTGTACCCCCTTTCATTTTTCGCGAACACTCCCAAATGGCCGACTTTCAAGGCAACAGATAAAAGCTAAAAATTATTTGAAGGAAATTCGAATCGTCCTCAAAGCTAAGTAATTAATAGCATTACTTGTCTGTTGGCTTGTTTGTAAATTGTTTTCAATAAACTTCAACAAGTCGGAACTAATTGGGCCAAAATTAAAATTCCTCTAAAACATTTCGATGTTTGTAAAATTTGGAAAATCCGCGAAAATGTTTTGTTGTCGGTTTAGAGTGTACGAAGAAAAAATGCCCGTAAGATAGAGCAACAATCTATAGTTGAAACAGAAGATGGGCGCGAATTGCCTTGAAAGTCTAGATAGATAAAATCAAATAGAAAATGATGAAATATATAAAAATACAAAGGTCAAGAGATATAAATACAGATATATCCAAGATTTGTGAAGTTTTCTCAAGACTGGATTCTGATTGAGTTTTGAGTTTGTTGAGTGCATCTTGTGCAGGACAATTCAATATTTGAATTTCCTGTTGGTTGAATGGAGATGTTTTATAAGTTTTTTTTTCATTTTATTTACAATTCTCAACTTGATTTGTTGGTTTGTAAAAAATTCTTGTCCTGGAAAATATCTAGCTTTAATATATTGATTTTTTTACGTCATTTTGTTACAGCAGTTAACAAACACAAAGAGCCAAGCAACAATAATTCAACCCGCAAAGGAATTGAGCCACAAAACCAACTTTTCTAATCCCTTAAACTGTGCATCCTGACGTTGTAAACCTTCGATATTTTATTATTTGGTACAACAGAATTCATAGTTTGAAATATCTATTAATCTACGACATTGGGTTACAAAGTCATAGCAATTAGAAAATCAGAGTTTGTGGCAAAGACTCAATTCCTTTCATCATGATTAATTTTACATATATAGATATGTAAGGTTAAAATTTAAACATTTTAAAATTTTCTAAATGTCCATTATTTCAAATCTACTTTTTCATTCTCTTTTTTATGATAATTTCCCAATTAAAAATAAAAATCCAATTAAGATAATAAATCATGTATCCAAATGGTGTTTGGTATTTATCCAAGTGGTAACCCAACTTTTTGAGGGAACCTATAAGTACTTCAGGGGGTAAGGGGGGGAGGCTTAAAGGGGGGGGGCTTAAAGATATAATTTTCAACGGGCAACGCCAGGCTAAAATTGTAATTAAATATTAAGCCCAGGTTAACGGTGGGATTAACTATTAGTATTTGCTAGTATTTAAGTATAAATATATAACATTTAATGGATAAAATCAAATTTGAAATCCTAAATTTAAAAAAAATTGTATACCAAGGTTGGGAGTAGGCGAGTAATCCAGTGCGGAGGCTTGATCATGATTCTCTTTGGTCTTCTCAGTAAATTTGGTAGGCTAAATTAAAGGGACTGTTTTATAAAATGGTAGGCTAAATTAAAGGGACTGTTTAATAAAATGGTAGGATAAATTAAAGGGACTGTTTAATAAAATGGTAGGCTAAATTAAAGGGACTGTTTGATATTTGGTAGGCTACATTAAAGGGACTGTTCAGTAAATTGGGTAGGCTACATTAAAGGGACTTTTCAGTAAATTTGGTGGACTAAATTAAAGGGACTGAACAGTAAAATTGGTAGGCTAAATTAAAGGGACTGAACAGTAAATTTGGTAGGCTAAGTCAAAGGGACTGATTAATAAATTTGGTAGGCTAAATTAAAGGGACTGTTTGATAAATTTGGAAGGCTAAATTAAAGGGACTGATGACTTACATTCAATGACTTTTATAGATTTACATGTATAGGTTCACAACTTTAAACTGTGCAAAATCAATGCTGACAGCCTAATTGTCCGATTTGAACATTTTCAGTTTTCTCTAAAAAAACCGATTTAGAGATTTTTGCAGAAGAGACAAGGCTATTGTTACTCACATATGAAATTTGAAAAAAATGATCAGGGTTAAAAGTTTAATTTTTCTAAAACGACACACAGAAGAAACTTAAGGTATGAAAGTAAAATTGAAGATGAAAACAAGATAATCTGCAACAAGGAATGCCTGCATGCATCTGTCAACGCTTTATTACCCTGGAGAATGGAGGTTTTTATTTAGGTTTGCTATGGAAAAGCTCGACTTGCATTCCTTAAAAACAGGTCTGGTGAGCCAGTTTTTAAGTAAAACCCACAACCAATAGGAAACATGTAAACATCCATCAACCACGGATCTTCCTAAGAATGTTGAGACGAATAAATTGCAAGAATCATTTATAAGTAATGCCCAAGATGTTCTTACACATCAATTTCAAGAGTCCTACTGTTGATAATCTGCTCCAATAGCCAAAACTCCTTTTATCACATTGGTTGTGTATAGACCTATATTTAGATGGTCATTATTCAACAATCTACAAACCTGCTGAGATAGCAAATATCAATTCTAGAAAACTTGCAAGGGTTATTATTTCGCGATTGTCATGGGTTCAGTGTCACCAGCTGAGATATTGAACTTAGAAACATATGATGAGCAAACTTCCTTGCAACAAACCAGAAATATCAGACAGATTTAAAAAAGAAGCAGAGATTAGTTGAGTTCTAAACCAATCAATAGATCAATCCCACTTGAGGTTTTCGGGGTCCTGTGATCCCCCTTCTCCCCCCCCCCCCCAGGGGGAAGGGTCCTGGGGCCCCAAGAATCCCAAAATGCATGGGAGAATGGGAATACTGTAATACTATTAAAATAATTTTGTACAATTTTCTAATAATCTTTTATAAAAACATTTTTTAAGTTAAGCAAAAAAAATTGTAAAAAAAGAAAATAGAAAATTGAAATTGTGAATTACATTCCATATAAAACTTTAAAAATAGTTAAATAACTGTTAATATTCACTTTTGAATTGACTCTGTAGTAAAAAATATGCTGATTGTATCAGACTTTTACTAATATCCATTTATCTTTCATCAAAACTAGTGACATTTAGTTAAAATTTTTATCAATATCTATGAATAATGGATTTGGAGTCAAATTTAGCCGAAAACCTTTATGCCAAATAAAATTTATCAAATTCATTTAAAAAGAACCTGTCAAATCTTTCGTTGGGATGTTTAGAAAGATGAAAATTTCCCTGTATGATAATTGAAGGACTGCAGTATGGTTTTGGTGAATTATATTGGCGTACTAAGCCTAGGGGTGTCAGAAATGATTTTTTTGGCATATTTTTAAAAACTTCTATAAAACTTTTGAAGTTTAATTTTTGATAANCCACAGTGCCTGTCAGTCCCCTAGTACCCCCAAATGCACTCAATACCACCAAATACCCCCCAGCACCCAATAGTACACAGCAGTACCCAGCAGTACCCTACAATAACCCACAGTACCTCACACTACCCCTCAGCGACCCCAAGTAGCCCCAGTACCCATAGTACCTTACAGTATCCCAAAGTACCCCCAGTACCCCTCCTTGCCCCAGTATGCACCTAGTACCCCCCGAGTACCCAGTAGTACCATGCAGTACCTGGCAGAACCCAGCAGTGTCCAGCAGTGCCCAGCAGTACCCTGCAGTACCCCGCAGTACCCCGCAGTACTCCACAGTACCCCTAGTGCACTTTAGTGCACCCCAGTACCACCCAGTACCCAAAAGTAACCAGGAGTAACCAGCAGTTCACACAGCACCCTACAGTACCCCAGAGTATCCACAACTACCCTATTTACTCCCAAGTACCCCTGTACCCCCCAGTACCCCACAGTACCTCCAATACCTCCAGTACCTCCAGTACCCTGCAGTAGCCACAGTACCCCACAGTACCCCACAGTACCCCCATAGTACCCCACAGTTCCCCACAGCACTCCACAGTACCCCAAAGTACCCCGCAGTACCCAACAGTACCCAACAGTACCCTGCAGATATGGGGATTACAAATTGGCGTTGTTGCCATCCTTCCCGCCATTAAGTGATCAGCTGATTAGTATTAAACTAGATTTTTTAAACTTTAAAGAAGACATCCTTAGAAGTGCTTCTGACTCTACTTATATATTTTTATTAAAAATAAAAAATTCTGTTTGGTTTATGTACCACCTCCCCCCAGTATACCCCAATAAAGCCCAGTACTTTGCAACGTACATTGTAGTACCTTGTACCCTGAAGCACTCTATATACCCTGTTTCCATCACTTTCCATAAAAAGATATGGGAATTACAAATTGGTGTTTTTGCCATTCCTCCCTCCAATGAATCATCAGCTGTTTAGTTTTAAACCATATCAACGGAACCTCTTTTATATTGTTATACACAAATGAAAATAATGCAAAACTAGAGTAAAGTGCAACCCAGAAAAGCTTCTGTATAAGTTCTAAATATTTTTGTTCAAAATAAAAATTCTGTTTGGTTTGGCAACTTTTTTCTGCAGAATCTTTCCTACTCTCTGAAAGGCTTCACATCGATATGTTTAAAGATATCTACTCGATATAAAGCAATATTTATTAAATACTTATTTTAACTCAAACTCTTAACTAAATGAATATAGAAAAAATATGCCGTTTTAAGAAAGTTTTAGACAGATATTTGTAATCATCCAGAACAAAAAATTTTATCAAAATTAAACTTTTTTAGGTTTATTGGACGTTTTAAACAAAATGCAAAAAAAATCATTTCTGACACCCCTGGGCTTAGTACGCCAATATAATTCACCAAAACCATACTGCAGTCCTTCAATTATCATACAGGGAAATTTTCATCTTTCTAAACATCCAAACGAAAGATTTGACAGGTTCTTTAAGTATTTAATTTAATATTTGAAAGTTTACTAAATACATTTTATTTCAAAATCACCTAAATGTTTTTTGATAAAACTGATTGAACGAAAGAACTACGAACTTTCTAATTCCATTATCTTTGCAACCTGATCCGCAGTGGACACTTTTGAATTTTAATCCGAGTCTGCTTGATCTCTTGGTTTCGGGTATCCACAATTTCTCTGTTCTCTCATTGGTTGAACACAAAATTCTCAAGCTTCTGATTGGCACTTAGCGGGATATCAAAGAAAGATTAATTTAATCTGTAGATTAACAAAAGATCAAGATCAAGCATTGATCTCGATATCCACAATAGTTCCCAGCTCAGGTTGCACAGATATAGGGATAAAATTCTAGAGTTTGCGGTTTCTTTACTATTTTTTAATTTTTGAGCACTGTAAGCATTATTCAAGTGATCCTCCATTTAAAGATGTCAATGCACGATTTGCAACGGTACCCTTAGAAGCATTGTCTGATCAAGGATGAATGAGAAATCCATTTTTTGTTTATTTTCATTTGTGGTTTTACTGTAAAGTGACTTGCTTATAAAAAAACACAATGGATAAATTCAGAGAAAAAAAGATGTTATCTTTCGCAACTATGATCAGATCAAGCTCTCAAGGGTAACGTTGTTAATCCCGGTACTTCTATCTTGGCATGCAGTCCCTTTAATCCGTATCTAGGTGCGTTTTTCCTGACTATCCCCAGTCCTATAGTTGGAGGGATCTTCTGTGTAATGTTTGGAATGATAACAGCTGTTGGTCTTTCAAACCTTCAGTTCGTGGATTTAAACTCATCCAGGTATATTATACAACAGCTGTTGGTCTTTCAAACCTTCAGTTCGTGGATTTAAACTCATCCAGGTATATTATACAACAGCTGTTGGTCTTTNATAAAATGATTGAAAATCATTATGATTATTCAGTGATTTCTGCCTAAATGCAAAACTTACTTCATAAAAAAAAAATTTAATCATTTCTATTGACAGGTTTGTTGACAGGTTTGACAGGTTTGTTGACAGGTTTGACAGGTTTGTTGACAGGTTTGACAGGTTTGTTGACAGGTTTGACAGGTTTAACAGGTTTGACGTATATTATACAACAGCTGTTGGTCTTTCAAACCTTCAGTTCGTGGATTTAAACTCGTCCAGGTATATTATACAACAGCTGTTGGTCTTTGTAGGTAATCCTGCACTGCTACAATGGTCGGCGTGTATATCAAAACAATAAAGACGACTTTTCTATTTATTACTAAAAATATTTTTTCAAATTACATCTTTACACAGAGAGGCTGTTTGAAAGTTTGGTAGAAATCAAAACTTAAAATTTAAAGTTATTGTATTGATATATAAGACGAGGACTGCAGTATAACAACCTTTTTTTCAAAGTATCAAACAATCAAAAACATTTCGATATTTCAAACAATTTTTTAGATATTCTGAAAAGAATGATAGGGATATTTCACAAATATTTGACTTTTTGAACGAAATGTTCATTATTTCAAAATTCTTTTGGCAGGTTCGATATTATAAATAAAATGTTATACATATACAAGGATGTAAGGCAAGGAAAGTCATTTCAGAAGTGTACACATCTTTAGTACTGTAGTGTACTGTCTCTGGGCGCTAATGTAAACACAAGACGGATGTCGAAGCCTGACATGGGATCCATCATTCACATAAAAAATCAATGAAATATTCTGGTCATAGAAAATTATTATGTGAATTATTAAAATTATCAAAATTTAATGCTTTTAACCTCCTCGGACACTAAACGAACACTGATGCATCTATTATTGTTTACAAATTCCGCCCAGAGAGAACTGGTTTCAATATGTACACAGAGTATACACAACCGCAATTGACTTTCCTTGCCTTACATTCTTGTACATATATATCTTCTATCAGTTTTTTCTATTTTTTATATAATGTGTATATATATATATATATATATTGAAAATAACTAGCTTTAACTTATTTCAGAAATCTGTTTGTTCTCGGTTTTCCTATTTTCTTCTCGTTGGTAAGCTCCGGATACTATACTAAATCCAATGAGGGAGGGAATGCACACCGCACCCATTTTTCCTCAAAACCGCAAATGACAACAAACTCGGGACTTAATTGCATTAAAAAAATTTATTTAAAACACAGAAATAATGCCGAACGAGAAGATGAGTTTAAGATGTTTGTGGTCCGGACGAAAAACAGTTTCAGTCTTTACGCTATTACGAGGAGATGAGTTTGAGATGTTTGTGGTCCGGAAGAAAAACAGGTTCGGTACGCCTTCCCTCCCTCATCTAATACATTGATTGTCCAAGCTATAAGTCTAATATTATTACTTAGAAAGGATTTCGTAACATTTTAAAAATGCTCTTTTAATAGTATTTCCAATAGGAGAAAAATATGTTTTTCATTGTTTAAGTTTTAAATGTTACATTGCGAAAAATATGTATTTAAAGGATTGGGGGGGGGGGGGGGGCATATATGCACAATACAAACTGTTTCATTTCTTACAACTGTTTTGTTGCGCAACACAACTATACTTATTTCTTAATTATATACTAAAGTTTAGAATTTGGATTTTTTGGCTCCCTAAATCCGGATTTGCATCCATGGAGGATTGGAGCAATTTTTCACTATTGGATTGGGTCCTCATTTCCTAATTATAATAAAATTGATTCTAACTTCTATATACGACAATTCAAGAGTTATAATTTGAACATTGTCGTTCTTAGCTGTTCACTTAGTTTAAAGGGAGTTTAGATGGAGTTTATGGTTATAAATGGACAAGCTTTATTAGATGTTTCTTATGACGAGCATTCACAATTTCGAACCTAAAACTATCACTGTTAGGTATTTTCAGATAGACATTTTCCCAAGAGCAACTTCCCAAGTAACAATTCCCAAGTCAGAATTTCCAAAGTGGCAACTTCCCAACGGTAAGGCCTGATTAGGCGCCGAAGGCTGCAATGGGTTCCAAGCGCTACGGCTAGGATGGGCTACGGGTCCGAGAGCTGCGGATAGAACAGACTTGGGAAGTTGCCGCTTGGGAAATTGCAGATTTGGTAAGTTGCCACTTGGGAAAAAGCCTTTAGGAAAGTCCCTAATATGCAGAAAACTGTGGTAAAGGAAGACGACTTATAAACTCAAATTTAGTAAATTTAGTTCAATAAACATAAACACAGTACTAAGCAGACAGATAAATTTCACTTAACCATAAGTTAGTGTTTAAGCCTTTGGTTTGTCAATAATTTGTCACATAACAACAGCTTGCTAAAAATGCCGTCTTCCTATTCCACAATTATCACTGTACCTAAAAGTTAACGAACAGATAGAAAAAATTCTTAAACTTGAATACTGACAAATGGTGCCATGAGAAAAACAATTACTTTTAAATGTTTTGTTATATTGGCATAATTTACCTTTGCAAAATTCCTTTTTACAACTTGATGGGGAAACTATTGTTAGATTAGCTTATTTTCATACTTTTAGGATTGTTAAAGGGACTGAGGACGTGTTTCAAGTGACCTTTATTTTCGTCCGTTTTCTAAAAAAATGAAAATATTTTTCGCGAAATTTTTGCCCTTTTTCTCGAAATTTTCGCATTTTTTCGCGTAACAGATCTCAGAGAAATTTCGCTAATAAAGCGAAAATTTACGCATTTTTCGCGAGCGAACGAAATGCAAAAATATGCGAAAATTTTCGCGAAACGATTTTTCCTTTTTGCTGCAAACCCTACACGCCTACAGCCAGGCCCATCAAAACGAATGGGTATTTCAGACAAACCTGATTTTTGCCAAAAAAGAGAAATATATTTTCATCTAAATATAAAATGATTGAAAATCATTATGATTATTCAGTGATTTCTGCCTAAATGCAAAACTTACTTCATAAAAAAAAAATTTAATCATTTCTATTGACAGGTTTGTTGACAGGTTTGACAGGTTTGTTGACAGGTTTGACAGGTTTGTTGACAGGTTTGACAGGTTTGTTGACAGGTTTGACAGGTTTAACAGGTTTGACAGGTTTGACAGGTTTGACAGGTTTGGAAAATTTTAAATATTTTTTTTTCGTTGAGGTTGCGTGATTAAATTAAGGGATAAAACGTCACCATTTAGGTTTTATTTTTGTAGGAAATATTATAAATCAATAGTTCGTCGTACACACTTATATACCAGAATAGAGGATTGTCTTTCTCCAGATAAAACTTGAAATTTAACAATTTCAAAAATAAAGGATGAGTTTTAATGTAAATATTTAGCATTTTGTGTTTTTATAAAAAGTAAAGAAGTAATGACCATGAACGACATTATGAAAATTTTCCAAAAAAATCTTTTTCATTATCCTTAGATTTTCTATTTTGGTGTTATTTTTTTTAATAAACACTTCTATCAATAAGTCACCAACCTAGGCCTTCGTCAGAAATCAGGCAATTTCCAAGAAATATTAAAAAATATTTCTCATTAAAAACATTAATTATTTGACTTTGCAAACATTTGTCTGCCCTCTGCAGTCATTTTGCGAGACTTTTAATAACTAAGTTTATTATTTGCTTTTATGTTTAGGAACGGTAATGATTAAGTACAGGGTGTCCCAAAAAACATGGGAATTCAGTGACGAATTCGATGTCGTCTTTGTTATGAATTAGCATTGTAATACCTAATTTAAAAAGCCATAATATTATTATGTCTGCTGGAGTTTATTGTATGAAAAGGGTAAAAGACTGCAAAGATGTGTCTATTATGTCTCCGCATGATAAACAGTGAAGACGGACAAGTTTACTCTGTTTGTATATACTGCAATTTGCTTGTTTTTCTAAGTACAACCGTATGCAGTCAAAACATAAACAAACAAAATGTGAACATAGCAGACAAAACTCTTACAGATGATAGCTTTCTTAGTAGGTATCACTATACTAAATCAAAGAATTATTTGAAAAGACCTAAAAATATTGCAATAAAAGAAATTGAAAATCGTTCAAAGAATTCTAGAAGGGGCGATTTAATTTTCAAAGAAATTACTACATTAGGCAAAAAAACAATTACAACATATTAAAGATAACTTTGAATAAAATATTTAACCGATTACAGCTTTCCTACAGTCAAGGAACTATATACAGGAACGCCCAACTCAGATAAACATATATTATGTACTGTACACTTTGGGAGGAATGTAAACAAACCCAGTGCCCCCACAGAAGTTGAAGGAAAAGGACTAAAGCTCTGATGTGATATTACAGTCCAATAAAAAACAAGTTAATATATCAAGTTAGAGTGAATTCCACCTGGTTTTTGGCTTTCTGGTCAATATGGAAATACAATAGCAATATATTCTTATTCAACCCCTTAGGCCCTTTTCCCTCAAAAACGATGCGCTGCCCCTGAATTCTTTGTTTTGATCTCCTCCCACTGCAGTACACAGATTTGACGCATGTGATATTGCGGTTCCTGGTCTATATATTTCTTGCCTATACAGTGAATCCCAGATATATGAATACAAAGCAAGAGTTTTTTATAATGTCGTATTACATATTTAAGATCAAATGCCGCGGAAAAATGAGTTTAATATTAATATATCAATTGCATTCATATTTCAGGGCTATTAATTTACCTTGAATTAAAAATAAAAGAAGTTTCTTTAGAATTATACATTATACAAAACTCTTGCTATGTATTTATATATCTGGGATTCACTGTAGAAGAAATCAACATGTATTAAATCAAAAATCATTTATAAGTCGATCTTGAAATCGCCACTTATTGGGAGTAAGATTTAAAGAAAGTTTAAAAAATGAAATTATTCTGAAACTCATCTTAAAATCATTTATTAATAGTTTATTAATGTTTGAGGAAAAACAGATAAAAAATTGAATACCAATTTAGTAACTCGCTGATCCTTATTGGTCCAACTTTAATGGCAAAAATTGATATATTTTAAATCCGTAAAGTTAATATGTTATAAATAAAAAAGATAACAAACTACATTTTAAAAATTCCAAACTAGATATTTTGCATTAACTGTTGTAAGTTAATGTTCTCTAGGGAAAGCTTGTAAATCCAAAACGATCCAAAAGGCATCACTTAGTACCAATGTTTATTGGGACACCCTGACGGAATAACTATTTTACATAAACTTTGACTAGTCTTTTATCAAGATGTTACCGGAATGGGTGAAGAAAAATGACGAAAATTTAGAGTTTACAGGCAATTCTGAGCTGGATCAAATAATCAAGGTATGTAGCAACCAGTAATGTACAGAGAGCTCCGTTTTATAAATATTCAGCATAAACACTTTTCAAAGAATTTACACTTTTCAGAGAATTTACAAGATTTAAAATCCTACGTACTTCAAAATTGCTTTTATTAAATCATTCAAAAATTTTACTCTAACGAAAGACATATATGAAACGATAACAAAATACGTTTTTTTTGGATTCCGTTTTAAAAAAATAGTTTTGTTAAATATTTTAGATCGTTGAAAAAATTCGCAAAATGTAAAAAAACCTGAATTATTAAGAATAACATTTTGCCTGAATAAATCAGATTTTTATGAAGCTCTTTAACCGTCGAAAACCCCCTAAATGTCTGAAAACGGATCGCAAAATGATGCCCATTGGAAATCATTTTTTTCTAAAAAAACTGTTCCCTAGGTGCTACTTTCAACTCATATGTTTGTTGGAGGAGTTCTGGGATTCTTCCTTGATAATACTGTTCCAGGTAACCAGGGGCGGATACAGGGGGGGGGGGGCGGGGGACATTCGCCCCCCCCCCTGAATTTAGAATTTTTTGTTCCTATTTTCAGAATAGCTTCTCAATAGCATGCTTAATTGAGAAAGAAACCCTAGTGAAAAACAGGAAAAATATCTGTCTTAATAAACTATAATGTGTGAAAAGTTAAAAATCTAGTTTTTTAGTCTTAAGTCATTAATTTTGACTCTTTTTGCGTCTTTTTAGTCAAAAATATTTTCCCCTGCGGCGCGATTTTTTGGTCCTAATTATGAATTATTTTGTTCCTTAAAAATCTTGCCCCCCCCCTCACTTAAATCCTGTATCCGCCCCTGCAGGTAACATGTATGTCTCTCTTATGTGCGTCCTCATTTTTCGTCATCATTTGTGCGTCCTCTTTCGTCCTTCACGATTAAAGGGTCCGGAAAGTGAGTCCTCTTTTTCAATAAATATGGTTGAAAAAAGGGTATATACACTGATAAACTTAATACCCAAAACTCTTGTCTTGAGATTTCCGAAGTGTGGTCTCTTTTTTAGTCATTTTATTATCTTAAGAATTGTCTCATTTCAAAAATCAAATACTTCAGGATTTCTGGATTACCCTTTTATTCACTTAAAATACGATTGGAACATTCTAAAAATTAACACAATAATTCAAATTGGTGTTTAAAAGTTATTGAAGTTATTCTCTGATCTCTGATTGGTCGATATCTATTTGCCATTGATGGTGTGGTTTTCTTATCAGTGAAGGGAGTTGAATTCCAATCCACAAGTATCGTAATAACAACATCGTTTATTTTTCTGTTCAAATTTAACTTTCCCTTATTTATTTTCTATTTTCTCCGTCCGCTAAGGAGAAAATAATTTGACTAATAAAATTATAACTTTACTATTCTTATCAAATTTACATGGAATTTAGTTGTGTCCATACAATACATAATGGGGTCGCAAACTGCTTGTTAAAATATTTTTGTGAAGATAAAAGGTTTTTGTGAATTGTAACTGTATTTTGACAGCTATTGTCAGAAAGCTCGCGTAATTGTTAATAAACTAATTTCTCAAATTAATTTAACAGAATTCTGAATTCTTCTGTAACTATTACGATAAAATACAAAGGTGACTCAAGAAGAATGAAAAGTGAGACATTTTTAAAGGAATTGTTCACAAAAAAGGGGGTATAGGGAAACATTTTCTAGTATTAATTTCTCTCTACAGAAAGATCAGGGAACTATGGCACAATTTTTTTTCATATTGTGATCAACTTCAAGTTCTTTTTAAAGTTATGTAATTTTGCGGACGGGCTTCACAGCTTTTATAGCGTTAAAGTGGAATGAACCCTAAAGGAATTGAGTCTTTTCCACAAACTTGAATTTTTAAACCTCTAAATCATTTCAACCTAAATAGCGTAATCCTTTGATATTTCAAACTTAGACTATTTGATCTAACAGAATGCATAGTTTGAAATATCTAAGGTCTATGACATTTGGTTGAGAAGATATAAAAATTAGAAAATAAGATTTTGTTGCAAAGACTCATTTCCTTTTTGGGAAAATTTTATAATCTCTACATGGTGTATTTAAAGTTTCGAACTTAAAAAATTAACATTAATACAAAAATTGATTCAATCATTGGAATCCTTATTTCAATTTGTGTGTTCCGGCAGTCTTTGACCTTTGGTTGTCAAGATTTAGAAACACTGAAAAATGGGACATGTTGGGTTTCAAATCACAGAAATCAGAAGCTTTAATTCCACTGTGAGGCCTATTTTTGGAATTAGATGACACTAAATGATCATTGACCACAGGATAGGAATAATTTCTGAAGTCGAAATATAAAATGGGTTATGTTATGTTTAGGATCGAATTGAGATTTTTGGGAACATATTTGCCTTTTTTGTGTATCTATCAGGCCCGTAACCAGGGGGGGGGTGCAAAGGTGCAGGTGCACCCCCCTTTCTTCTGAAAGGGGGGTGCAATGACGAATTTTACCCCCCCCCCCCCCCGTCCCATATAAAATTAATTGTTTCTCATAATTTTCTAAAATCTAGTTACCAATAATATAGCTCAAGCCCGAGTTGATTCCCTTCCCAAATCAAATTATAATCTTATTGTGTTTTACTCATTATAATAGCCATTTTTTGGAGTTTCAAAAACATTATTTTAAGCGAGGATATTTGTCATTTTTAGTCAAAGCAGAAGGGTTTTTTGGAGTACTCAAAAATTTACCAAGAATTTCTTAATGTCTAAATGTCAATAAATAAACTCTTATGAACAAAATATTAGAAATTTTATATTTTATTCATCTTCATAATATCATAATGAGGCCGAGGGACAAGAAGCCTTGATTTTAAATAATGATTTTTTTCCTTAAGCTAAAGTACCATTCATTTATTTTTTATGTATATTGTTTATGTAAGCTGAAAAGTTTCAGACACTAAAATGTAACCCTTAAAAGCTTAAAAACACTTTAGTTAGTTAGTCTTTATAGCGTATGTAATAAAGAAAACCATATACCACTGTAAAAACAAACCAAGCATTGCTTTAAAAAAAAAAAATTTCGCCTGGTATCTATAATAAAATTAGGATTTAATAGATTATTTAATCAATTATTATCAAATTGTTTATGTAAAATTGATAACTCCTCTGTATGTACATGGATACTTGTAAATAAATTTTATGTTTTTACTTACAGTGATAACCAGAAAACAACAGAACAGGAAGACGACATGAAAGCAGTACTTTAGTGTATTAGATAATGTTACAAAGCAAATAGTTTTACTAAATCACTAGAAACTAATTAAACCCCTGGTGTTTATACTTTTTCTGAGAGGTTTTTCACCCGGTTCATTTAACCCATAACTTATCAGATCCTTAATTCAAAATAAGACTGAGATGTATATGTTTAGCAGTAACCCGTCCACAGGCTGATGATGAAGAACACTTCTAAGGCCGACTACGAAAGTAGAACATTTCTTTTCAAATCAAATCACTAACTTATCTAAATGGGCCTGATTTCACTGCACAATTGCTGTGTCTCATGCTTATCGGACTTTTTAACGTTATAACTTGATTCTAAAAGTCTTCTTCCTATTTTATAGTTGTCTGGTTATATCATTGTATATTAGTAAGTGATGTCATTTTCAGGTACTAGAGAAGAGCGTGGATTAGTTGCTTGGGAGGATCAACATGATGGGGAAGATTCTGCCGGAGCTCAGAGTAAAACTGACAGGTTCGAATTTGAGAACACAATATTAAAATTGAATTTGTCACAAATATAGGGAAGCTAGTCCAAAAACTTTCTTGGGGGGGGGGGGTGCCACTCGATGAATTTTAATAGGGTCATGTTACATACTGTCCTCCGAATTCCAGTAAGAAGCCTCTAAAAAGGGGGGGGGTAAAGGGAGGACCTCCCCCCCATGGAAAAATTAGAGGCACAAGAAAAGAAACCAGGTAACTGGCCTTTTAATTTGATTTTTAAGTATAGATAAAAAAAAATTTCCCTGGGGCGCCACTTTATCACTGTAAACTAAGAATTTTTACAAAAATATAAAAAATACAAATTTGTTACACATAATTTAATATTTCCACCACCACCCCTGAAGATATTGTAGGTCGTCCCTGGATCCAGTTTTTATTTCTGAAGAGGGTAAGGATAGATTTTAGGGAGGGAAGGAAGGCCAGCCACAACAATTTCTCGTCCGAGCCACAATCTCCTCATTTTCTCGTCCGAGCCACCTCGAAATCCTCGTCCTTCGCTTATTATGTGTTATTAAGTTTCTAAATCTTGAAGATAAAGCTATCTTTTAAAAATCAGGCCACGTTAGGGCATAAATTATGGATAGACTAAAGTATTGCAATGCTTAAACATGTTGAAATCTTCAAATCCGTGAGAATGATGTTAAACTTTTTTTAAGTAAAACTTAAATCTCTTCTGCCTCCGTAATGGCAAACCTTCGTGATACAAAAAAATAGAAAAACATTTGGCATAACTCTCCCTGTAATTTTCCCCATGGAACCACCCGAAAAAATGCTACGGTTTTTGCTACAATTAACAAAAAAATTAAAGTTCTATAAACTTGGAGTAATTTGCGGCATTCTATACATAGATTATCTGTAAATGCGCGTAAAAAAGGTGAATATTTATAGGACATTGCACTCAAAAACTTTAATTATATTTAAAGTATTTTTTTGATTTACAAAAATAATTAATATTTAGTTTATGCTCTAGCGTGACCCGTTTCTTGAAAATTTAAATAATTTAAATCATGAAACCTCAAGTTTCAGACGCTTAAAAAAGTTCAATTTTAACGAATAAATTTTAGGTGTTATGATCTTCCTGTTGGCATGGTTTGGCTGCGTAAACAGAAATGGGCTGAATATGTTCCATTCCTTCCTACCTTCCAGGTTATTAATCCTTTCCTTCCTACCTTCCAGGTTATTAATCTTTGCTTCCTACCTTCCAGGTTATACCAATCCTTTCCTTCCTACCTTCCAGGTTATTAATCCTTTCCTTCTTACCTTCCAGGTTATTTATCCTTTCCTTCCAGGTTGTATTAATCACTTATACTTCTTACCTTCCAGGTTTTTTATCCCTTACCTTGTATACAGACTAGGGCTACTTAATCCTTAATTACCTTCCTAAATATCCCTGTATAAATTATTACATCGTACTCCCTGAAAACCATTTCAGTTTTCACAATTCATTAATGAGGTAAAAGGCATCTCACATAATTTTTGCACCCGAGCTTCATTCTTCTCATTTTTGAATCCGAATCACATTCTCCTCAATTAGGCATCCGAGCCCCATTCTCATCACTTTTGCATCCGAGCCACATTCTTAACATGAGCAAAATTCTCATCATTTTCTCCAAGCCACTTCTACCTCATGATAAATTTATAGTAATTTATTTTAGGAGAAAAAGTTGTCTATGACGCGACCAAAATGGTGCAAAAGAAGAAATGGAAAGTGGAACTGCAGAGTAAAAAAATAAAAAATAAAATTCAATAACCATTAAAGAACATTCTACAGATTACTAGGACGGAACACAAGGATTGATGGTCTATCTATATTTTATCTGTGTAATTTTATATTAAATTAACCTTGGAAAGCGGAGAAGTAGAATGATAAAGTGACAATGTTCAAAGAAATAAATTAAAGCCATATGGAGGTTTATAAACAAGAACTAATCGTATTTTGCCATTATTTTAGTAACCTATTATTGAAACAAGTCTTTAATGTCACACTGAATTGTGCATTTGTCTAAACGTTTTATTTTAAAATACAAAAAGCGAGATTTCAAGTGACCCTCCATGGAAAGATGGCAATACCCGATTCACGACGGTACCCTTGAAACCTTTATCAGAATGTAGAAAATATTGTAGTTTTCTAGTTTTAAAAGTGTTTAATTCTGTAAATTCATTTATGTTGTGCTGCTTTTTAAATACGCAAGTTACTTTTATAAAGACTTTACGCTTACAGTCTCTTTAAAAAGTAGATACGCAATATTAGAGAAAGTCTTTTTGACACATTGTATCCCACATCATATTGGATCGCTCATGGCTCTAAATTACGATTTTCGGGACGAACTGGAAAAATAAAGAATGAGTCATGTTAAAAAATTGTGTAAGGCAATTACAATTTTATTGCAGAAAATAGGGTTTTCGAGTATTATGTGCGTATTTTGACGTTAAAGCTTGTAGATGATCCAAAATGATATGGAACGCTATTTTTTTGCTGAAACCTAGTGAACCATATAGAAATTTGGAAATTTTTGTTAAGTTATTATTTAAATTGTGTTTAGAGAGCAGCATTTTTGGTTTTGATCGATATTTTGCCCCTTGGATCCGGATCCGTGGAGCCAAAATGTTGCGGATCCGGGTCCTAAGCACTGAATAACAATGTTTAATTGTGTTAAGTTTAAAACTGAAGCAATCAAATATATAAAATATGAACTTTCAGTCGTCATGTTTAGTGAGAGACGCTGTACAATTAACCGCAGTCCCCTTAAACTCTTATGTTTTGACCCTTCGTAATGATTAAAACCTTAATGTTTCAAGCTTCGGTTATTTTTGCATTTTTTGGTTGATATTTTGCCCCTTGGATCCGTGGATCCGCATATTTTTGCGGATCTGGATCCAGGAAGCCAAAATCTTGCGGATCTGGATCCAGGAAACCAAAATCTTGCGGATCTGGATCCAGGAAGCCAAAATCTTGCGGATCCGGATCCTAAGCACTGTTTAAAACAATTTAGCAGAATAGAGTATATCAATGTCTCTCGAATAAGAAATATAATTTAAGGAGCTGTCAGCGGAATTTCAAATAATCTTCCATGCAAAGATGATTTTGTTCGAACCCTTGAAACCTCCATCTGATCAAAAATGTGGAAAATATTGTCGTTTTTCTTGGTTTAAAAGTGTTCGATTCTGACTATTTCCTGCAGTAGAAATGCGCAAGTCACTTTCATAGAGACACAACAATTGAAAGTATGCGCATCGAGCATTGCCATCTTTATACAGAGGGCCAGTTTAAATCAAACACACAGTCTCTTTGAGGAATAAAGATTTTTAAATAATATGGTTTTATTTTGCGTATGATAAAAGTACAAAGCTTATCACATTTAATTTGCCGTAAATCACACCAATTTGGACCTAGTTAGGATACATTTCGGAAATAAAAATTTTAAAAATATAAAATTACAGTTGCGTACAATTATCGAAAGTGTGAAATACGAAATATTACTGTTACAAGTTTTTTTTCCTTAAGGGGTTAATCATTTAATTTACACAAATCCAAAATACAATGTTTAATGCCTTAAAAAATTTCCACGTTGAAAAAATCTCGAAGAATTTCGATCACAGTTTACTCCAATCCTTTATAAAACTAGAAAATCCGATCAAAATATATCAGTTTCGACTATATGACACAAGCTGAAAATGCCGAGTTTACAAATGAAAAAAAATACTTTTAGATCACATTTGGGGGTTTATTATACTTTTAATTTCAATAAATCCAAAGAGTATTTTTATCTAAATATGTTTTGAGAACTTGTTGGAAACAATTGATAAAAAACCGTATGTACGTAAAAGTGATAAATGGAAAACTAAGAAATGATGTACTGTACTTTCAGTTCAAGGGCCAAAATTAACATAGCCCTTCATGAAAATTAATAAATATCAATCTACGAGGGATGGATCAAAAGATTAAAAAATAGTTAATAATTTTAATCGCAACTATGTACACTGTGCATTTACGGTGTTCAACGTAAATTGTACATGTGCAGTGTGCAACAGTACATTGTACATGTGTGATGTGCATCTAGCTAGGTACATATTTATATTGAAAGGTTTTTCTACTTTGTTAGTTCCCTAATATTCTTGGAGGGACATTGAAGTTGTGAATCTTGCATATTGGTGTACTGTGCATTGTATTGTTATGTACAGTATTTTGTTAAAAATATCACCGACACCGTAAACCCCAGATATTTGAACAAATCCGCGAAAAATACGCGAGTAAACCGGTTTCAGTTGTTGTACATACGATCTATATCCGCCTGGTATCTATCCTGGATGGGCCGTCTTTTCAACTTCATGGCAGCGGTACTTAATCCTGATTCAGGGGTCCACTCATCTCCGGTCAAACATAGCGCACCTAAACATTATCTTTGTCTCTTTGTCGTTGTCATTTTTATGATCATGATTATAATTACCATAATCGTGATCGTAATTGTATAATTATTTAATAATCATTATACTTTTATTGTTAAGAAATATCATAAACTTAAAGAATCTCAAATATTTTCTTAATTGAAGTAAACAGTGAACAATATACTTAAACCCCCGTACAAGATTAAGAATGGACCAAGTTTGTTATTAACAAACTACATTTAGAAGACATTGATCGCTAAGGCCCGCCCTACTCAAGAATATTGGCCTATGGTTACAAAAAGATTTTTACTAAACCGTCACATTATAATGTTAAACAAATTGACGACCTACAGTAGGAACCAGAAAACTCTGGAATAGGAAGATAATTCCTATACTTGTGTTGTGACTTTGAATAGTCCAATGCAAATGAGACTCGGTATTTTGTAATGTAAGATAAGTAACTATCAGAACTATTTGCTTTGTTTTTGCAACAACGCCAAATACACTAAGATATTGCTACAACTTCGTCTACCTATTCCACAGTTTTCTGTATGGTTCTCACAGAATAACACTACTTAATACACGATCCAATAGTTCAATTTGGTCTTCTGCGGAAACCGTAGTTTAAATGCCCATTAATGGCGCAGCGCAAGATTAAAATTAATGTACAATTTTGAATCCTTAATTAAAGAAATATTAATTGATATGATTTAGATCACCCGAAAAAAAGGACTTGACGAGCCGTTTACCTGGTACTTCAAACTTTTCAAGTTTAGTTTGTTTGCAGTGGTTCACCACCTCCCGGAGTACTGCACCAGTTACATCCTTATCCTGTAGTTTACAAATATTTACATTTACTCGATAATTTAACGCCGAATTTATAGTTCTAGTGATTAACATTCTATTTGATTGATCAAGGATCAGATTTAATGAATAGAGAAACATAGTTGAACCGTATTAAGTTAAACCACTTCTCTAGTGCGCATGGCAAGGTGAAGTGAAATAGTTCAAGTTACTCTACGCGGTTCAACTATGTCATGCTATTTAATAAATTTGGGCTCGTCTTTTTACTTAGAAAATTTTCGTCAGGTGGACCCACAAAAATCTAAGAAATTGTAACTAAACTTTTTACTCAAAAAAATAAATAGTTTCCCTTCGTTTAGGGCTAATATCTTGTGTCTCAGTGCATACTTTATACATGTTTGAAAAAGCAAACTATTTATAATATAGAAAATTATATTACAAGGAATTGAATCTATATCACAAACTAAAATTTTCTAATCCCGATACCTTTGCAAGCTGATGATGAATACCTTTGATAATTTAAAACTTAGAATATTGGATTTAACCGAATTCATAGTTTGAAATATCTAAGAAATAGTAATTAGAATTTGTGGCAAAGACTCAATTCCTTTAGATTATTTTTAAGGGACCGCCTGAAACAATTACAAAATCAAATAGAATCTATATTTAAGTACAGCCCTCGCTAGAATGTGATATTATTTAACTAGCCAACACAATTTTCAGCAAGGAAATTTGATTCTACATATTTTACATTTTGATTCAAAATGAAGAGATTGAATTACTTTCAAATCATTATTACCAAAAGCAGAAATTTATTATTTCCTTTCATCTGTTTTCATGCAGATAGCTGAATTGACTAATAAACATTCAGAGCTGGAATTGTATGGAAGCTGTTAAAATTAAACCGAGGTCAACTATTGGGTTAAACTCAAAATTGCTTGCAAAGTTTGTGAATTCGGCAAATGCTGATTCTACTTATTGCATTCAGAAAAACTATTTTAAATGGAATGGCTCAGTAACATCTCGCTAGGCAACAACTCGCCTATAAATAAATTTTTAAATTAAATTGTAGTTTGCACACTGCACAGCCCACTGTTTACAATTAATTCTGAGTTTGAACGTGCTGTATTTGGAGCTGTGTATTGTGTGTTTTCAGGCAGTGAACAAAGGGGCTCCAGGTTTTATTTTAACTCTGCAGTTTGGAAGAATATTGGTGATAAGGGACTTCAAAGTCTTTTTTTTACCGAAATCCAAGTTTCCACGAAGTGTTCTACATGCTCTGTGGACTGACCTACGTCCAAACTTTCTACAAGGACTACATTGAAAAACAAATTGAGAATACCTTGGAAAAAGATCAGAAATGGGCCGACTTTAGGAAGCAATTCAAGCATTTCTTGTATACCCTGGATTGAGCATAGGCAATTCTGAATTGTTTGCTCTTTAAGTGGTCATTAAAATTAAATTTTATTTTATTTTAGGAATTTCGATAACTAATTAAAAAATTAAGGTAGCCCTCCCCCCTACATCAAACATGACATCTCCACCATCCCCTTTAAATCTACTTTCATGTGTATCGATATGGCTGAACAATGTTTCATAATTTCATATGATAAACTATTACTGAACAAAATTTATTATTTTGTTTTTTGTTTTTATATGGCAAGCTGTTACATGGCGAAATGTTACTTAGGTAAGTTGTTATATGGCGAAATGTTATATGGCGAAATGTTATATGGTGAAATGTTATATGGTGAAATGTTATATGCTGAAATGTTATATGGTGAAATGTTATATGCTGAAATGTTATATGCTGAAATGTTATATGCTGAAATGTTATGTGCTGAAATGTTATGTGCTGAAATGTTATATGGCGAAATGTTATACAGCGAGATGTTACTGAACCCTAACAAGGTCGGTGACTCTTGGAGTTACGTCATAATTAACGACGCGTGGTCGATTTTTATTACCTGACACTGTTCTATGAAAGAGAGGTTTGATTTTCCGTATTTAGCGGCCAGCTTAGTCAGCTGTTCTGGGACCGGGCACACGATACCAACCACGTAGGATTTAGAGGAATCCCCATATATGCATACATTAGATACAACAGGACAACCCTGAAACATGAATACATTGAATACAACAGGACAACCCTGAAACATGCATACATTTGATACAACAGGACAACCCTGAAACATGAATACATTAGATACAACAGGACAACCCGAAACATAACATACATTGGATACAACAGGACAACCCTGAAACATGAATACATTGGATACAACAGGACAACCCTGAAGCATGCATACATTTGATACAACAGGACAACCCTGAAACATGCATACGTTAGATACAACAGGACAACCCTGAAACATGAATACATTGGATACAACAGGACAACCCTGAAACATGAATACATTGAATACAACAGGACAACCCTGAAACATACATTAGATACAACAGGACAACCCTGAAACATTAATACATTGGATACAACAGGACAACCCTGAAACATGAACACATCGAATACAACAGGACAACCCTGAGACATGAATACATTGAATACAACAGGACAACCCTGAAACATGAGCACATTGGATACAACAGGACAACCCTGAAACATGAAGACATTGGATACAACAGGACAACCCTGAAACATGAACACATTGAATACGACAGGACAACCCTGAAACATGAACACATTGAGTACAACAGGACAACCCTGAAACATGAACACATTGAATACAACAGGACAACCCTGAAACAAAAATACATTGGATACAACAGGAAAACCGATCATAACTGAGGAGCCTCTGGACCGATTTGCCCCAAATTTTGATTGGGGTACTCGGGAGACGGGCGGGAATGTTAGCTTGATTTTAAGATTTTAAGTTGATTGGGTCGACTTTAATAGCGGTAAAGGTGCAGAGAAACGGTGGGAGTAACTATGAGTAACCTAGGTAGCGCTGGATTCCCAAGCTAGTTCTTCATATTTTTAAGGCTTAAAGAGTCCCATTTTTAATGGAACAATCAGCTCCATTTTAAAAAAGGGACCACTGAAAGTACGCTAACATAATTCTGATTATCATATTTCTTACATTTCACAAATCCAATCATTGATCTAAAACATACCTTGAGGGTAGCTTCCACCTTCCCTAGGGAAACATATTCTCCAAACTGTAGTTTTACAAGATCTTTCTTCCGGTCAATAATCTTTATAGTTCCGTCCCTGTAGAATTCTCCGATGTCTCCGGTTTGAAACCATCTTCGCCCCTCAGCATCTGTGTGGAACTCCTCGGCGGTCTTATCCGGTAGTTTGTAGTATCCAGCAGCAACATTTCTTCCACCTTAATATTACAATATTTTATATCTGGTATTATGTAGTATCCCGCAGCAACATTTCCTCCGCCTTAATTTAAAATGATATATATCCGGTAGTTTGTAGTATCCAGCAGCAACATTTACTCCGCCTTAATATTACAATTATCATATATCCTGTAGTTCTGGCCGCAAGATTTGCTTCGCCCAAATATTAATTTAGTTTAATTAGTTTTCTAAAAAACTCGTTTTTCAATCCTCCTCGCTTGAAAAATCCTTTCCCCCCCCCCCCCTCCCGTAATAGAAATGTTAAAATTTCTAGGTTTCTTTTGCTTGATTGTACGTTAAATAAAATAAAAATTAAAGGCAAGAAAATTAATTTAATTTGGTTAGTATTGTTTTCAAAATTGATTTATAATCTAGAGAGTCTTGTCTAGTAAAAACTGAATAAAGCATAATGATCAATAAAAAAAGATCCAAAAGCTCTCCATTTTGAGGAAATCCAAGTGCTGTCGAAAACATAAAAGAGAAAAGAAAAGATTTAAATAATAATGAGAATAAATCATTTTACTCTAGCAATATAAAAGTCATTAAAACATGGTACTGTTAAAACGAAAGAAAATTTACAATAGATCAATCGATTAAAACCCTGGAAATCTTCGAAAAAAAAATTAAGAAAATCCGCAACTCCGAGACAAAAATCTTCAATTTCTCAGTCGTGCATCAAAAGTGTATCAAAATTAAATAATGGCCCTGAGTAACTGCTCAAAAAACTGCGAAGCATGAGCTAAAAGTTGTCAAGGAGAAGTAGTAATAGAGGATGCTGCAAGAAAAAGAAAATAAGAAACTAAAATGTGTCTCCAAATACCAGTGCTTAGGATCCATTTAATTTTGATGCGGATCCGGATCCTGGATCCGCTTTTCAAAAAAATGGATCCGGATCCGGAACCAGGTCATTGATCAAAAAAAAATTTATTTTAGTTCAAATGTCTTTTCATACCTAAAAAAAATGTTAACATTTTAACATTTTTTAATACTATTTTTCTATTAGTTCGCACAAAATGATAATGATTTTTTTTACTTTATTGGATGAAAAAAAAAACAGGTGTAATTCATATTAGCTTTTAGTAGAAGGAGGGCGTTTGGAATATCTGCCTTCAGGCAACTCCTTAGGTCTGATTTGAATATCTTCAGGGCAGAGAACAGTCTCTTTATACTGGGAACACAAGATGTTCCTTAGCATCTGTATCTTTTTAGCATATGTGCGCCCCATCCCTTTTCCCCCTCACTCTTACACATCCTTACACCTTAATTTGTGAAGACTAAATTTGCTTAGTTGCAATGGAGAAAAGGGAGACTTCTCCCCCCCCTCTCTAGTTATTAAAGGGGGTGGGGGGAGGGGTGCACGGTGGAGGTCTGAGTTAAGATTTGACCAAGATAGAAACCTGAGACCCTGAGAACATTTTTAAAATCTGTTAAACAATTCAAAATAGGATATTTTTAAGGAAAATTAACGCTGTTTTGCACATTTTGAAAAATAAAATTGTGCTTGGATCCGGATCCGTGGATCCGCATTTTTTTGCGGATCCGGATCCAAAGAGCCAAAATAATGCGGATCCAGCGGATCCGGATCCGGATCCTAAGCACTGAACTCCCAAATACCAAACCAGTCTTGGTTTGGAGTTGATCAACAGTGTCAAGAAACAGAAGAAGATCCAAATGAAGAAGAATTTAAAGCTAACAATAATTAAAGACATTTATTATTGCAATAAATATAAATAAATGAATATTTAAAGCTCTAGTTTTATCATTAATAATTTGGGGTTTAACTTAATAAATTAATTGATTAAAGTTTATCAAGATATTAATAGCGGTCTTTCTTGTCGTATTTACCGAGCAAATCTGAACACATTTTGTTGCCAGTATTACAGCAGTTCGGAAGATTTAGATAAACCCTGGCGCTTTAAATATTTATTTATTTATTTTTATTGCAATGATAACTATCCTTAATTTTATTCTGAGCTTTTAATTCTTCTTCATTTGGATCTTCTTCTGTTCACTGCCTGAATGACTGTTTTTTCCTGTAACAAACTAAATCTTTGTTTTGACCCGCTTTCGCTCGTCAGATTTTGATAAAATTTAGCTTTTTGGAAAGCCTTTCACATAAGGAAACGAATTGCACAAGTTTTGCGAAAAAAATTGCAATTTTTTTGCAAACAACCTCTCAAAGGAAATTTGCACATTTTTAATTTTTCTTGATATTTAAAATTTTGCAAATTTTTTTCATATTTGAAATGGCATGATCAAGGGTTTTTCAAAAATGTATAATTTTTCATTTTTTGGACAAATCAGTTTTGCAAAAATTTTTAGTATGTAACTGGATTTTGTGAAAAAAATTCAATTTTTGCAAATTTGCAAATTTGCAGAGACAGGGTTAATGTAAATTCATTCATATCATTAATTTATGTTATGTTGCACCGCAGGCTGCGGAGAGGGCCGAGCGCTGCGGCCATGGCGAAGAAAATCGTTGGAATATAGTCTTTTTAATTTAAGCCGAGAGAAGACGATATAACTTAGTTTTATGAGTCCATCTTTTGAGACGTTTCCATGTTGAGTCGTTACTATAGCACCATTGATATAATCTTCTTCTATAAAATAAAACAAGACATCCATATATATATGTTGGGTATAGCCGGCCAAACGGCTGGACCAAACGGGCTGAATTTTTTAGTGAACACTTATCAGTTTTATAGGCTAAAAAATTGGAATTCTTTATTCAAAATATTGTTTATCATTTTTTTATTTTCTCTTTTTTCCACGGGCCACGCCGGGCCTTTCAGCTTGCATATTATAATTCAGTTAAACTATCACCAATCACCATCCATCACTATTGCTATTTATCAAAATCTATAAATAGCTTGAAAAAGTATGATAAAATTAATATTGTTACCTATAATGATTTCTCCCCTGGGATTAGGTTTATCTGTAACTCTATAGTTTCCTTCCTCCCAGTTCACAAGCTTTATCCTGAACAATCAACATTTAAGGAAACGTTGGCGTAATCTAGAGTGATTCTCATAACAAGCATTGCATACCCAATTCACAATAGTACCCTTTATAACTTTATATGAGCAACAACCAGGCAGATATCATCGTTTTTTCTCTGGAAACGCTTTAAATTCTGTTAATTTTTTTCGTTCACACTACTGCATATATTCACACATTACTTTAAGAGAGAAACCACATTTGGGACTTACACAAATGGAGGGTCACTTGCATTTGTGCTTTAATAAAGTCTAATCAAAGTTCAAAATAGCATTTAGTTAATGACCAGAAAAATAAACAGACACCTTGTATTCTGTACCGGAGGTCCTACTCTACTAGTGGAGTTTTCATCCATGTTCATGATAGCCCCACAAGCACATGTTTCAGTTAATCCATAGCCCTAAATAATCTTGAATAAATATATAATACAAAAACTGTGACTTAAAGAAAAATGGGTCCAGATCCAGGTCCTGCACATTTCTATATTTATTATTTTTTAACAATTTTAACATATAAAATCTTTTTCTTCTTCTTTCGTTAATTTGTTTCCTGAAACTTTATGAACAATTCAGAAATTAGTTGGTGTTATTAATTTCTTTTAGTTAAAATTTAGATGTAAAAAAATGCGACATTTATTTAGTCGGTTTTGGTTAATAATTTGCCCCCTAGATCCGGATCCGGATCCAGCACGCCAAAATGTTGCAGATCCAAAAGATTCAAACCTTTAGCACTGAACAAAAGTAGTTGAAATGCCTTTCAAATATTGCAAGTTAAATATTTGTAAAATGGATTACTGACTAAATTAGACAATATAAACTATTGCCCATGCAAATAATTCTCCGACAATAATTGAATGGCGTAGGTGAAAATTCTTAATAATATATTCTATGGCTATTATCTCACCACAAATTCCACAATTACGAATCAATTCGTAAAATCTAGTTATAGTGTGTATTTGGGATTCATTTTCTTGAAATTGAAACTATGACGCACATCTAAAATTAAGATTTTGAGAAAAGAGGAGAATAGATAAAAATCTGAGAAAACAGATAAAATGCAAGAAATATCAAAGGGTTTTTGTTTTCATTTTAATTTAGTTAAATTAATAACCTTGAAAGGGGGAATTTTAAAAAACCGTATTTTCCTAAACTAACCTGAAGAATTGGACATCCAAGAACATTCTTGAGATAATCATGAGTTTCCGGAGATAGAGGAGCTCCCCCGCTCATGATCGCTCGAACCCTACCCCCGATCAGAGCTCGGATATTCTTAAACAACAACCGATCCATTATCGGCGTAATCTCCCCCCTTTTGGTGCACTCGCTCCTGTAGTTGATACAGTAGTCCATCAGCTTGGTGAGGAACTCTCCACGCTTCTTAATATTCTCCGTCACTCCTTTGTAGATCCTATCCAGGATAAGGGGAACACAGAACATGATTGTAGGACGGAGAACGGTTGCGTCCCCCTTCTGTCCTCGCTTTATCATTGTTGATTTGTCTGTGAGTGTGTTTGGACCACTGTATCCGATAGTGATTCCCCAGACAACCATCATACTTTCTCCCAGGAGTTCCAGAACGTGGGCCAGGGGTAGGTAGGCTATATACATGTCTGTAGGTTCAGGATCAAGGTTATACAAGAAGGAACTAAGGGTTGCCACGATGTTCTGATGAGTCAATATTACACCTGAAGAAATAAAGGGATTGCAAACAAAAGTTAAAATAACTCGCTTAACAGAATGCTTCTCACTGGTTATGGAAAAAATTTCGCATTTCCCAAAGGCATGGGAAATCCTGAAACATGTGTATCCCTTTGTTTGCGTGCTTTTACTTGTCAGAACAAGAACAAGAATAAAACAAGAACAAGAACAAGAACAAGAACAAGAACAAGAACAAGAACAAGAACAAGACCAAGACCAAGACCAAGACCAAGACCAAGACCAAGACCAAGACCAAGACCAAGACCAAGAATAAGAATAAGAATAAGAATAAAAGTCTGAAAATATCCCCGAAATGGAATCCCCAGATTCCTGTCGAACATTATAATATCAAATAAGATGATGGAGAAACAACGTGAAGAATTTACCTTTAGGATTTCCAGTGCTCCCAGACGTGTACATGATAATAGCAGGAGATTGAGCAGTTGGAGGAATAGGTTCGGCCTCAACCTCAGCCAGATTGTTGTTAGCGGTTTTCTTACCCAAAGAAACTACATCCCAGAACGATATAAGGCGGACGTTATCTCTAAATATATTTTTTTTTGAAAAATTAATTTATTCTGAAGAAAACTTACAATATTTTCCCAATTTTGAATAATCATTACTAAATATAGAATTATAAAATGCAATGAAATGGAAGTAGGGTACGGAATGGGGGAATGTTGGATTAATATTCAATTTAATCCGGCTTTTTAGTCCATTCAAGATTTTACGCCCAAATCAATCAATCAATCGAGAATCAGTAATACACACAATTCAGTATGACAAGATACACATATTTAAATTTGTTTTTTAAATTGACTTCAAGAAGTAAAACGTATTCATTGACCATTTAGTATGACGAGTTCATGATGAACAAGGGATTGTACAATTATAAGCTTAATAGTGTGCATAAACAATCTATTCTAATGTATCTAGGGATTTAAAATATCGCTCTGGCTTATTTAATTTGACAGGAATAGGTTAACAGAAACTTAACAGAAACAATTTTCAAAAATACCACCATTTTTTTAGAGTTTCTGGAAACCAAAAACGGATGATTTTTATAATCATCAATAAAATACAAGCCATAATTAAAGGTACGGCACACGCCCCTGCCCACGCGTATATATATTATATATGGATAATGCCCATGGTATAAATAATCTAAATAAGACTAATTTTGAACTGCGATCTTGCGAGGACACATTTGTTGAATAAAACGTGCTGGGTCGACATTATACTGTGTAGTTGTAGCACGACTGAATACATATGACATACAGATTTGAGAAATGTGTCTCTGCTAACCTGTATCCTGAGACATCGGTCCGTTTGATCGGATTCTCCAGGTAAACGATAGTCTTCACCTTGTCCTCATTGTCCTTCAGGATCCTCTTAAACTTAGGCAGCAGCTCGTGGGAGGTTATTACAGTCTCAGCCTCCGTCTCCTAAACAAGATTAGAGGTCGCAAGTCTTTAATTTAAGGGTGTTAATTTTCTTGAAAAATCATATCCTCCTCATTTGAAAATCATTTATTTTTCCCAGAAGGAATTTTTATGATTTTATTCATTGAATTTGGAGAAAGAAATGATTTTAGGGGAAAATAAATAAACTTCTGGGTAAAAAGTAGGAAACAAATATCAGAATATATTCATTTTGTCCAGTCTCATCATGAAACACAAGAAAAATCTATCTTATAAGGAGTATTGTGACAAAAATCAGTCACCTACCCCGCTCCTGACCCCCTAAATACCCCACAGGGGGGGGGGGGCGGGGGTGTTTTGATCAGGAGCTTTTACATTAAACTCCCAAATTTTGTTTTTACTACAAATGGTTCCTAACACATTCTACCCCACCCCCCCCGCGGGGAGCGCATTCTGTAAAATATTTAATACTTTCACCCCCCCCCCCTCGGGGAGCGCATTCTGTAAAATATTTAATTTCTAAGAGCTTACATTCATACTTAAAATAAGATAAAAGCCGGACTTTGAAGTAGAGAAGTTCCATTTGCTGAGATTTACTTAGTGTAACAATATTCTAGACCTTCTTTGAAAAGAACTTGCAGGATTTTAATCTGATGAGAGAACTTTCATGTTTAATTTTCCTTAGTTTTCGTTCTAGACAGTTTTAGAATAATACTCGAAGAGACAAACTCAGGGACGTATACAGGACAAAATCTAAAGGGGGGCGGGGGAGGAAATACTGTTGCCCCTTCCCCTTAAAACTTGCTTGAAATGAGGTAGAGTTAGACTAAGGCAGGGGTATATAGTAACAAGAATCACCGCCCCTCAAGGCCAGAGTGCAGGGGGGGGGGGAAGGGTAACTACCCCGGCTTACCTTTAGTCCATGAACTACAGCATCTTCTCCTAGATTAGTGTAGAGAGTAACTACAGGGAATCCTTGCTTAAACCCTCCTTGTACAGACAGCATCCATTCAGCCCTTAACAGATATTATACAATACAGTAACGGACATTTGAATGGTAAAGTAACATTGTCTATACGAAATTTTCCCTGTACTGGACTTCTGATCTACTAACTTTCCGACCTACCGTAATATAGCGTAATATAGGAGTAGGACCTATGACAGCTTTTTTTTCTATTCTTCGAAGATTAGATTAAAAGACAATTTCTGGGCCGAGAGCTGCGGCTAGGACAGACAAGGGGGCTGAACGCAGCAGCAAGGACGGGCAAGGGGGCCAGGCGCTGCGGCCATATGTCCAACTTACATCTGTAAAACCACGTGCTAGTATAAGTGTAGTATAGCGGATGTAGCTTAGGTCAGAAGTGGAGTAGAGGATATGCTTAGGTCGAAAATACATACACCATTGTATTTGCTTAAAGTTTTCGAACAGTAAAACAATGCTGTCTCTTAAAACCGGCCATTGCAGACTCAAAGGTTTTCGTACGATAGAACAGTGTTGATAATTTTTGTATACAATGTACAGTAGAAAAATGTTTAGAATATAAAGAGTACATTTTAGAGAGCAGTTTGTCCAACTTTCCCCCCCCCCCCCCACGATCTTATGTACCTAAAATTAAGATTTATAAAACCTTTCTTCCAGCATTTGTCTTAATTTATTAGCTTGCATTAGATGCATGCATAAAACACAAAATATTAAAAAATATTATCTAGTTGAAGAAAAATAGTTTAAACATAGATATGCTGACTTGTTGCTTTAAATAAAAAAAAAACAGATCTCACAAAGAAGAAAAGCTTTTCATTCTTCACACTCAAGGAATTTCATAGAAATCATTTTCCTGCAATTCCTGAAGAAAATGAGCTGAGAATTATTCTACTACATGTTTTAACACCCTACAAACAGAAACAAAAATTTTGTTTTTTTCCGCACACAAATTAATAATGTTTCTTTTCAAAGTCATTTATATGTTGTTGTTTTTTTTTGCCTTGATTTGTATTAAATTCAAGTTTACAATCTTGGACGATATAAGGGATTACATTTTTTAAAATCTAAAATACGGGAGATTTTATCATAATATTAGTTGTCTGCAAACATACACATAGGTTGGTAGGGTTTATGATTTAGTAGATACCTGGTGTCTGCAAACATACAGATAGGTTGGTAGGGTTTATGTTTTAGTAGATACCTGGTGTCTGCAAACATACAGATAGGTTGGTAGGGTTTATGTTTTAGTAGATACCTGGTGTCTGCAAACATACAGATAGGTTGGTAGGGTTTATGTTTTAGTAGATACCTGGTGTCTGCAAACATACAGATAGGTTGGTAGGGTTTATGTTTTAGTAGATACCTGGTGTCTGCAAACATACAGATAGGTTGGTAGGGTTTATGTTTTAGTAGATACCTGGTGTCTGCAAACATACAGATAGGTTGGTAGGGTTTATGTTTTAGTAGATACCTGGTGTCTGCAAACATACAGATAGGTTGGTAGGGTTTATGTTTTAGTAGATACCTGGTGTCTGCAAACATACAGATAGGTTGGTAGGGTTTATGTTTTAGTAGATACCTGGTGTCTGCAAACATACAGATAGGTTGGTAGGGTTTATGTTTTAGTAGATACCTGGTGTCTGCAAACATACAGATAGGTTGGTAGGGTTTATGTTTTAGTAGATACCTGGTGTCTGCAAACATACAGATAGGTTGGTAGGGTTTATGTTTTAGTAGATACCTGGTGTCTGCAAACATACAGATAGGTTGGTAGGGTTTATGTTTTAGTAGATACCTGGTGTCTGCAAACATACAGATAGGTTGGTAGGGTTTATGTTTTAGTAGATACCTGGTGTCTGCAAACATACAGATAGGTTGGTAGGGTTTATGTTTTAGTAGATACCTNTCAGGAGTTTGTATTTTCCGGAGTTTGTCTTTCAGGAGTTTGTCATTCCGGAGTTTGTCATTCAGGAGTTTGTCATTCAGGAGTTTGTCACGGCGCCGTGTAAAATATCCGCCCCCCCCCCTTCTCCCGTCAGAATGGTAAAAAGCTTATATTTTTATTTTCTGCTTATAGGAAAAAATGCGTGAATTCTAGACGATATGAACCATAAAGTAAGTGACCCATATTTTAGGTTAAAAAAATAGGTCTCAAAAATTTTTATTTTTAATATTAGAAAATGCCGCTTAAGATGTTGTTTTTGATACTAGAGAATGTCGCTTAAATTGCGTAAAGTAACATTTTTTTAAACTCGATATCGATATCTAATGTGAGTACTTTTAAATTTGAGGTTTAATGCATGAACCCTCAATCACGGAATATCGAAGCGGAATTAAATTAATCCGTAGGTAAACACGAGATTCACAAAGCAAAAGTTCTTACTTCAGGACAAGTTTTTAGTAAATAACAGTTACTTATTTCAATATCCTTAGTGAATTATCATAATAAAAGAAAGAAAGAAGACGAATAGAGTTCCATTGTTTACTATAGTTCCATTCGTTAATAAAATAAGTTAAAAAAGATAACAAATCTTAAATTTGTGCTTTTTAGACATGTGCATCTATAAAAACTAGCTTAGGAATCAAGCTTTGCCTGAAAATCTTAACCGTCCTATTCAAGATTAATAATTACGCTATAATTTTTAAACCAAGCTGTTAACATTACCATTCCTCACATACAAAGTTCAAACTTTAAGCAAGTTCATGAGTTATGATCAGAAATCCAAACAAACAAAGAGAGACTACTACTTTATATATATTAATACTGTACTCTACCTAAAATCCCCAAGTTCAAGTTTCCTAAACATTTTCCCGTTGGGTTGTATTTCATCCTCTTCTCCAAGTATATCTCTAGTTCCTAGTAGCCTCTTCTCCCTAGATAATTAAGTATTAACATTTTAATTTTTATGTCCGTGTAGTGACCTTTTCTTCCTTACACTTGAAAAGGTTTTTAGATCCCCCATTATTGTTGAATTAATAATGAAGAGAAAAAAATCGTTCAGAATTTTAGAAAAGTGTGTGACCACATGAATTATAAAACTGCCAGTGCCTACATGTAAACTAGTCCATATATGACATTTTTAAGAGACTGTAGAGATACAAGTGCCTCTCCATCTATAGTGGTATATCCAGGACCCTTAAAAATTATGCCAGACTAGCTGAATAGCCCGGCGGTGCCCGTGGAATTTTAGAAACACTGAAAAGATTTTGAATTTTGAAGAACAAAAAATCCCCCGGGGCACCCATATCCCATTGGTTCCCTCAAAAATTTTACGATATATATGAGCTAAGAGCTTCATTATATTATTCTCATTATAAAAGATTTATTCACACACATTAATATACATTATGCAAATACATATTATACATATTACTTATTATATCATATCTGTTCGGTTCCATAGTAGTAAACCTATCGTGTAAGAATTCCCATTATTACACGGTTCAGGAGGAACAATTTTAATATTGTTCGCTTTTTAGCGTTTAAGAATGCTTACTCTTACACAGTAGGTGCAGAATTTTCATTCTTTAACGCTCAGACCGTGTAAGAATGTATATTCTTACACGGTCAGAGCGTGAAAGAATGTATATTCTTACACGCTCCGAGCATTAAAGAATGGAAACTATTACACTTGTTGCAGAATATTCATTCTTACACGCTCCTTATATTGATTTTTTCAACATAGATCAATATTGAAAATGACTTAATTATTTTGTACTGAAAACATGCACAGGGCACACTCACCTATTTCTTTTATATAAATACATGCAAACTTACCTTTTTATACTTTAAAATAACATGCTCACTTACCTTTTTCTTATTTAAGAATTTCCATTATTACATTTTTTTCCTCATAAGATTATCATATTACATATATTGATGCAGCTTAAATTTGGTTTGTTTAAAAATAGGAATTATATTAGAAGTATTCACTCTCATAATCCCTTATTTCGTAAACCTGCCTTTTCAAAGAAATCTAACTGCAAATAGACATTTTCAGCTTATCAAAGGGTGTAATCCCATTTTCGATGTTTCAGTAGACTTGACATCCACACTCATCAAAGGGTGTAATCCTATTCTTGTTTCTAGTAGACTCATAACATATACAATAGTCAAAGAGTGTAATCCCATTCGTGTTGTTGCTAGTATTCTTGACATCCACATTAACTACATTAACTTAATGTATAAAACCCATTCTCGTTGTTGCTTGTATTTTTGACATCCACATCAACTTAATGTATAAAACCCATTCTCATTGTTGCTTGTATTTTTGACATCCAAATCAACTTAAGGTATAAAACCCATTGTCGTTGTTGCAGGTAGACTTGACACTCACACTAATCAAACAGGAACCTAAAAGGTTTCCTCTCCTACAAGTTCTTTAAGGGTTTGGCCCTAGTCCTCATAATAATCAACATTTTGCATGCTTTCTCTCAGAGAGAGGAGGTGTTGACTTCTAAACCATGCTCTCTAATATATAGATAATCGATTTAAATAAAGACTTCGTACCGTTGTGAATCGGGCATGACCCTCTTTTTTTTAATGGAAGGTTATGTGAAATTACATGGACAGTCCCTTTTGGTGGATCCCTTGTTTGTTTCCGGTTTAATCTAATTAAAATAAAGGCGGGCTGTGGTAGAGGGATAATATACAGTAATCCAATTTTATTTACTTTTCATTAACCAGTACTTCAGTTATTTACCCAGTACAGTACAGTACAGTACAGTACAGTACAGTGTAAAACATAATTTAACAGTATATTAGCTGGGCTAGAGGAATAATACAGTAATCCAATTTTATTTACTTGCCATTCACCAGTACTTCAGTTATTTGTCCAGTACAGTACAGTGCAGTGAAGAACATAACAGTACATTAGATGGGCTAGTGGGATAATATACAGTAATCCAATTTTATTTACTTTTCATTAACCAGTACTTCAGTTATGTGCCCAGTACAGTAAAGTGTAGAAAATAACAGGGCATGTATAGTACATTAAAAGGGCAATACGTAACAGTACAGTACTTTTAACTTATCCCATAGCTTAGTAATACCCCCCCCCCCCCCTCCCACACTTCCCAGCTATTCATTCATTATTTACAGAACACATAGTTTGTTGAAGCTTTTATTGAAAATTCTCAAGATCTAAAAAGTTTAAAATGTAGTCCTAGGTATCTTAATTCTTCATTCATCTTCTTGTACTAGTTTACAGAGTTCTCAATAAACATGGGAATTGAGTTACACCATTTAAATTCCTTCTTTGAATTCATATAAAAATCTAATAATGCTAGGAAAAACAACAAACAATAAGCACCCCATTCTTAGATCGAAATGTGATCTAACTATTAGTTTAGTACTTACCTTACTTAACATTGTTTGACAGTGTATAGGCCTGCAATTCTTATGTGTACATTTTGATGAAATATCATGTTTTAACAAATATTTACAGCTAATGTTGGTAATGTTTACCTGTATCTTTTAACCGACCAATCCCAGATATCCGCCATAGTTTCAGGTTTAGTCGCAAGGAACTCCTAGTTCAATAATTAGGTTTAGTTCAAGGTAGTAAACCCATAGTTTCAGGTTTAGTCGCCAGGAACTCCTAGTTCATTAATTAGGTTTAGTTCAATTCAAGGTAGTAAACCCATAGTTTCAGGTTTAGCCGCCTGGAACTCCTAGTTCATTAATTAGGTTTAGTTCAAGGTAGTAAACCCATAGTTTCAGATTTAGCCGCCAGGAACTCCTAGTTCATTAATTAGATTTAGTTCAAGGTAGTAAACCCGTAGTTTCAGGTTTAGCCGCCAGGAACTCCCTAGTTCATTAATTAGGTTTAGTTCAAGGTAGTAAACCCATAGTTTCAGGTTTAGCCGCCAGGAACTCCTAGTTCATTAATTAGGTTTAGTTCAACGTAATAAACCCATAGTTTCAGGTTTAGTCGCCAGGAACTCCTAGTTTATTTATTAGGTTTAGTTCAAGGTAGTAAACTCGTTCTCACCCGCAATTTTAGCCATAAAATCCAAAATTTACTCAATAAGTCATTTTTCTACCAGGACAATCACTAATATTTTCTTAACAAATCATTGCATAACAACAAAATCATCCTAGAGAATTGAACTTCATGTTGAGTATTATTGATCTCGATCTATCCAATGTTGGTACTTCTGAATTTGAGGATCAATGCTTGATCCCTCTATTAGAGTTATCCCTGCAGGATACAATTATCACGGGATATAGAGGAGAAGTTGAATCAATTCGTATATCTGCAGAAGATGGCGATAATACTTGATCCCAAGATTCAAGACACACAAGTTATAAATTCAGAACACCGTTATCCCCCCATATAATTATTGATTTAAACAGAATGCAAGAATATGCATATTTGAATATTAATTCTCACATTAATGAACTTCTAAAAAACCAAAGCTCTATAAAAATAACTTAGTATTTAAACAGCCCTAATTTGCAGTATTCAGATAAGAATATTATGGTGTGACATGAGAAATGAACTTGAGAACAATCAAAATAAACAAAGATAAATGAGAAAACACAAATCTATATATAAAGTAGTTTAATCTCTGTTTGGATGTCATAACTTAAAAACCCCTTGATCGATTTGTCTAAAATGTTGATGGCTTCAAAAATTATTTTTGTTTACGTGACTGAATGTGTATTCATGGAACCAAGTAAGGAAAAAAAACTAACCTGGATAAACGGAGTGGTTTCAAGCTTTACTGGATCATATGTTACTTCTGTATCTCCAGGTTCTATCTTCTTCAGAGGGTTAGCACGAACCTGGAGAATTAGTTTAGGTTTAGACATGATCTAGATAATATTCTTGGCTTAGACAGGACCTAGATAAAATTCAAGGTTGTGTTAAAATAATTATAGCTTACAGAAAACTAATTCTTACAAAATTGGGCAGCATAGAAAAAGTTAGACAAATGAGATTACCTTGTTGAAGTTTTTAACTTTCTGCTCCGAATTATTGAATATTCTATAAACCCATCCAAACAGCAAACCCCAAACCCTGATTAAAACCTGAAATAAGTGAAGGTTAATTATATTTGATTTTAGTCGGCAGTGATCGGCCACTTTTCCTTTCCTAACTAGGGTCAGGACTTTGGGTCAGAACGCTTGATCTCTTTATCTAAGTTATCCCTGCAAGGTATGACCTCAGGATATAGATAAGGAATTCAATAAATCCGTTTGTCTGGATAAGTTCGAGATCTTGATCCAAAGATTTACAACAGAAAAGTTCCGACATCAGTGGCGGAATTTAAAGAATTTGAGCCGCGGTTTAAATTTAAGCCGCGGCTTAAATATGGTTGGTTCCACTTAAAATTGTATCAAATGTTTCAAGATTTAAGCCGGCGCAAAATTTAAACCGGGTTTTGGCGGATTTAAACCGGGGCTCAAATTCTTTAAATTTCATCTCAGATTAAATTAATATTTTACAATTTTTCAAATAAACGAATTTTCGAGGATTGAAGAAGTTTTCAAATATATGAATTAGTTTACCTTTATTAGTTCCAAGACCATGTTTTGATCCGAATTGTCTGCTCCGGGCTAAAACACTTATTGAATTAGCACAATGTTGACCGGCAGATAGATTAATGAAGTGTAGTCGATTAATGTCAGGACTATTCTCAGTTTCTTATCATTCTTTCCACATTATCTCTTGAAATGTATACATAAACAATTTATCTATTATTTTGAATATAATCAATTCTCTTAATCCGTATGGACGAATTTTATGTTTTAGTAGATACCTA